CTTTTGGTACAACAGGAAGTCTAGGAGAAAGCATCAAGTTTTTCTTCTATTTTTCTTTTTTATTTTTCACTCAGAAGGATAATGACCTATCATCTTGACTGCCATTAACAAGTATTAATTTGAGAATAAGGATGGGTTAATAAAGTGGACAACAAAATGTGCACTTAATATTGGATGACCAATTTTTGACCAGCTAAAAGAGAAAAAAAGAGTTGATAAGAGACAATTTGATCGGTCGATCATTGGTACGACCCGTAGGTTTGCGAGAAATTATTCGAGTCTATGGGTGTTGGACTATTGTAGAGAATCAATCTCTACATACCTTTTGATGCAACAGGAAGTCTAGGAGAAAGCATCAAGTTTTTCTTCTATTTTTCTTTTTTATTTTTCACTCAGAAGGATAATGACCTATCATCTTGACTGCCATTAACAAGTATTAATTTGAGAATAAGGATGGGTTAATAAAGTGGACAACAAAATGTGCACTTAATATTGGATGACCAATTTTTGACCAGCTAAAAGAGAAAAAAAGAGTTGATAAGAGACAATTTGATCGGTCGATCATTGGTACGACCCGTAGGTTTGCGAGAAATTATTCGAGTCTATGGGTATTGGACTATTGTAGAGAATCAATCTCTACGTACCTTTTGGTGCAACAGGTAGTCTAGGAGAAAACATCAAGTTTTTCTTCTATTTTTCTCTTTTATTTTTCACTCAAAGGATAATGACCTATCATCTTGACTGCCATTAACAAGTATTAATTTGAGAATAAGGATGGGTTAATGAAGTGGACAACAAAATGTGCACTTAATATTGGATGGCCAATTTTTGACCAGCAGCTGAAAGAGAAAAAAAGGGAGTTATGACCTAATGCATATCATTCATTGCAAGAGAAGTTCAAACTAAGATTTCAATCATTAAACACACCACAACAGCTTAATTTGTTGAAGATTCAGAACGTTCAATATATAGAATGAAGTTATATCATAATCTTAGTCTAAAGAGTATCAGATGAATTAAAATGAACTTGATGAAAGACTTGGAAACAAGTTGTTGTCACTTACTTGAAAGAGCTTTGGCTTCATAACATTACATATATTTGCCGGAAAACAAGATATCCACTGTATGGCAAAGTAATTGCAGGGATCAAACTTCAACACTCAGAAAGGTGACACAGTAAGTTGGGAACTGAGAAAGTGGAAGCTAGACAGGAGGAAGGTACAACCAATTAATATGTTATTGGAAAGAGAGACGAGACATAGGTACAGAACTTTCTATAGGAAGAAAGTTCTTTAAAATTGGAGTACACTGCAAAAAAAATTTGAACTTGAGAATTTTTTCTGCTCAAGATATATTTGAAGTTTATTATAAGTGATAAAGAACATTTAAGTTATTAAAAGAGAAGTCTTCAACCTTCTTTTAATTCATTTTAACTCTTAACTTTTTAACACAATGGGTTTTAATCGTCCCAATGTCTCTTGGAAAATTCTCATATGTAAGATTTATAGTATGGAAGTGTCAACTAGTTTAGCTAGTTAAAGATTTTAACGATTTATCATATTCTGTTTTGTTACTTTTATTTTGTAAAGTAAATTATCTTATGATATTATAATAAAAATTTTAAGTAAATTATAAAAAAATTAAAAGCAATAAGCTATTAGGAAATGACTCAATATTATACAAACTTTAACAGTCAATCAATCAAGTAAAAAGTCTAAATTTTAACAAGAAGGTGACTATGATTGCTTTCATTTTTCATTTCAAGATTGTTTTTAGTTTTGGGTAACTCAGAAGCTTGAGGAATATACAGTCAGTTGAATCAGAGAAAAAAAAATAAAGCAAGATATCTGTTTTCACCAGGAAATAAATGGGTGCATGAGAAAGATTTAGGAAGACAAAAAACAAAAAAAGTTAGTATGGAGTTACTTGTTCACTCAATGCATTCATGCGTAAGATAAACATGGTTTTGCCCCTCCACTTGAAATCTTACCTTAGCCTTCTTTGTGATCTCACATCACCCTGTTTGCAGCAGCAGAACCTCCTCAAACTTCAACAATGGCGGCACCTTCAGTTACTATCAAGAGGAATAGGAGGAGGAGGAACTTCTGGCAAAGAAGGAACTCTGAGGAGCAGCTCGTAGCTGTCGCAGAGGTCGCGAAGGGATAGATGCCTTATGCCAAGGAGAGAAGAAAGTATGGCGAGAAGGAAAAAGAAGAGAGAGAAAGAAATAAACGAATTATTATAACCCTCCAAAGTATGCATCAAAAACCGCGTTTTTTACGATTTATCAGATTCCGATGACAACCCGACATACATACCACAAACGCCATACCGCGTGGGTCCGCCCACTACCTGTTGGTATGGACTTCCTTCTTGGTTGCTGGGCCCACCCCACATCTGTAAACGGCTCTGATGATGATGATGGAGTTGCACGGATCTTATGCGAGGCGTCGTTGGAGAAGATCCCGGTGGCCTTTCTTTGCGTCCGGCGTAAAGCATATCTAATGCCCCCCTCGTCCTCCACCTCTGTCAGAGAAAGAGTGTGACAGTGAGCTACCTGCCTATCCTCGTTTCTTCGGGTTCCGCTCGAGAGAACAGGGCGTCTCCGCTGTAGATCAGGGAGGAGCGGGAGAGAAACACCGAGAGATGAAGGCCAACATGAGAAAAGAAGGGGAGCATGGAGTTCCCCCAGCCATGCCGTTCCCTCTCCCCCGTTTTGACTTGAAGGCCTTCGCGGTCACCCTCGTCGTCCTCACACTCCTCATGGCCGCGTGGCAGCTCCAACCTTACCGGCCCTTCCTCTCCTTCCGCGCCTTTTGCCCTCCCCCCACCGCCGCCGCCTCAACTCCGCTCCAAAGTTCGAAGCTTGCTTCCTCCTCTCCCTCCCCTGCATCCGCTTCTGCGATTCCGATTCCCGGATCTGGACTTCCCGTCCAGGCTCCCTCCGACCCCAACAAGCGGGTCTTCCGGGCCTATGGCAGTGCCGCCGCCCTGTTCGTCCAGATGGGCGCCTACCGAGGCGGCCCGGCCACCTTCTCCGTCGTCGGCCTCGCCTCCAAGCCCACCCACGTCTACGGCACCCCGTGGTACAAATGCGAGTGGCTTCCCAACCCCAATCCCTCGGCCGCCGCCAACGCCTCCTCGCAGCCCATTAGGGCCAAGGCGTACAAGATGCTCCCCGACTGGGGTTACGGCCGCGTCTACACCGTCGTCGTCGTCAACTGCACCTTCCCCTCCAACCCCAACGCCGACAACGTCGGCGGCAAGCTCCTCCTCCACGCCTACTACTCCGTCCAGTCCCGGAGATACGAAAAGTTCGTAGCTTTGGAGGAATCTCCGGGCGCCTACGACGAGTCCCTTTACCGGCCGCCGTTCAAGTACGACTACTTGTACTGTGGATCCTCCCTCTACGGTGATCTGAACCCCAACAGGATCCGGGAGTGGATGGCCTACCACGCCTTCTTCTTCGGCCCGAACTCGCATTTCGTCTTCCACGACGCCGGGGGAGTCGGGCCCGAGGTGCGAGCTGTGCTGGAGCCATGGGTGAAGGCGGGTCGGGCGACGGTGCAGGACATCAGGGCGCAGGCAGAGTTCGACGGCTACTACCATAACCAGTTCTTGGTAGTCAACGATTGCTTGCACAGGTACCGACACGCCGCCAACTGGACCTTCTACTTCGATGTGGATGAGTACCTGTACCTGCCGGAGGGGAGGACGCTGGAGTCGGTGCTGGCGAACCTCTCTGCCTACACACAGTTCACCATCGAGCAGAATCCCATGTCCAGCAAACTGTGCGCGCTCGATTCCAAGGACTACTCCAGGTGAGAGCTCATTGTTACCCAACTCGAGACTGTTTTCTCTTCGTTCGACTCTAAATCTCTCTTCTACCGACGGTCAACAGAGACTGGGGTTTCGAGAAGCTGGTGTTCCGCAACTCGATCACCAGAGTGCGGCGAGATCGGAAGTACGCGATCCAGGCCAAGAACGCGTACGCCACAGGAGTACACATGTCGGAGAACATCATCGGAAAGACTACCCACAGGACCGAGGACATGATCCGCTACTACCACTACCACAACTCCATCAACGTGCTGGGCGAGCCGTGCCGGGAGTTCGTGCCATCGCCGGCCCAAGGCAATGTGACATGGTTCGAGAAGATCCCGTACGTGTATGATGACAACATGAAGCGTCTGGCTGAGACCATCAAGCGCTTTGAGAAGCAAACCATTGGAAGCATCGGAAGATAACAGTAGGAGTAGCAGAAGTGATGATCCATTCATACGTTATACAGTAGACATTCGTCAGAATTCTTTGGGAGATCTCTGTTCCTGAGCTCGGAGGTGGATGCAGATTCTGCTCGTATCTTGTTGGGTTGTCAGAGGCCATTGGTTTTGACCAATTTGGACTGATCAAAGTGAGAGACGTGATTCAACAGAGCTTCTGATTTCTTTCGCTTTTGTTTTTCCCCTTTATTTCCCATAATTTCTCTCTGGTTGGGGTCATGTGAAGTGGTGGGCACATTGATTGAAAGGAATGTTACGTGGGAAAGGAGTTTTTGGAGCCCGTGACCTGTGTCCATTGAAGTATAATACTTGCAATCCAATAATACATTTCTATGCGAATGTGGTCGAGGCAATTACATGCATGCATGCATGTGACCTGTGCTCTCCACGCCACCATACCATCCACCCGATGACATGCACCGTCGAAGACTTCTATTAAATCTAAATTTATAAATATATAAAAATTTTATAATCCTATAAGGATGACTTTTTGATTTTCTAAAAAAATATCCCTTATTTTTAAAAATTTTCTAATAATATCAGGAATACTCAGCATCTATCCATTTTTTTCTTCATTTTTACATTATATTATAATATATTATTTAAAATACTATAATATAATATTTTTATACTATTATGTTTGTATTTTTAAATATTATTAAAAAATATTATATCATAGTATAAAAATATTGTAACTAGATTGGTTTATCAAGTGAATTATTTCATAGAAAAAAGAAAGAGATACAAAGTAAATGACTGAGTATCAAATTAATAATATTTTAGGTATTAGATAAAAAATATACTGTTAAAAAAAATTCTAAAAATGAAATATTTATCATAGAACAAGTGCATGAGTTTATTAAATGGTATTAAGAGTAAATCATGAGTTTGAATAATACACATCTATCTCTTTTTATTTCATTCCATATCTAATTTAAAAAAAAATAAATATTTTTCATTGACATGTTAATTCAAGTTTCTGGAATTCTTTCCCACTCAATTAAAATCTTGGATTTTATCTTCATCAAAATTCGAGGCTTCAGATGTTAATGTACTGTGCTGGAGTCGTCATGTAGGTAATGGGAAACCTCTTTGCCTCGGATGTCATCCATCTACATCGCTGTATGTGCAAAAGGTTCCGAGGTTGCCTGCCATTTACGACCTCGAGCGCTCGAGATTAGTGGCCAGAATAACGCGGCAACGGTGAAGACAACGCGCAGCGTATGAAGTGGCCGAGGATTCACACACTGGTCCTCCATCCATCCGTCCCTCAGTTCCTGTGTTCCCATTAAAGCTATTGCCCTGCCTTTACGGCCATGGCTCCACCTGATACCACCCGGACGCTTCCTGGAGGCCGGAAATGAATTGCCAGTTCGCACGGCATCAATCAATCCTCGTCGTGTTTCTGCATGTCCACATGCAGACTCTCATCATTGGGTGTTGTTTGTCCCTTTCCCGATCAAACTGGTTGGTTTCGCCATGGCGTGTTGAACGGGGAGGCGAGGAGAAGTCGAGTTGGCAGGTCGACGAGCGCGTCACTGTTCCTGGATGTCACTCTGATGGGACGACGCATGCATTCTGGCACACATTGGTTGCTGGAAAGCTGTCACTGCTTTTGATCTCCCTCGTCTACAGTCTGGTCTCCCGTATCTCCATGCTTTCGGCTTCGTGAGCTGTTCACGTCCTCATCTTTCATGTAGCTCTCTTCCGTAGGATGTCACATCGTGCAGCATACAAAGGATTTGGGACATCTTTCATCCGATGACGTTGCCCAATTAGTATTCCGTCTTCCATCAGCCACCGACGTTGCCTATCGGAAGCGATATCGCTCATGGGGCCCCGCGATTCAGACCTTCATCGCGATCAAAGAGCGCCCTCCGCGAGGAAGGCAGTGACGTGCGGAGGGAGTTCTTCGATCGCAAGGAAAGAGGGAGCGACGCCGAGGGTGCGATCGGGGTGGGAAGGGCGGGGGCCCCATGAGCGGCACCTTCTGCAGCGGCGACGAGGAGGTAGAGCTCCTTGCCGCCAACGAGAAGGGGTGGAGCAACAATGGCGAAGGCGGAGGGGGCGGTGCCGTTCGCGGTGGGAGCAGGGAACGAAGGTAACAGGCGGCACCGCTATCGACGCCAGTGACCGGTGGAAGGCGGAGGGGCATTTTTATGATAGTAAATGTTAGAAAGAATAGAACATAATAAGAATTATTGAAAAAAATTTATTAAAAAAATTTTATTGAAGAAGCTTAAATGCATTAATATATCTTTCTCTTGTTTATACAAATTAAGAGGGAGGATTTCCCTCGATAGAATAGAGAAATTTTTTCGAAATATTATCTGCTATCATGCCCCCGTGAGATGGTGCTCTTGTCAAGGATACCAATATTGGATCGATGTAAAGCAAACAGTTTACGAGCTGAGGAGGGCTCGCTGCTGTTGCTATTGCTACGATTGCGATGACGACGGTGGCGGCTACAGTAGAAGAGGAAGCTACAGCAGAGGATTTGCTTTTAGCAGGAGCTAAGGATCGAGAAGAAGACCGTATGGAGGAGAAGAGGGAAGGAGCGGGCAGGGGTTACAAGCTTCGATGGCCGCGGAGCCCTGCTCTGGTATCATGTTGGAAAGAATAGAAGATAAAAAGAATTATTAAGCTTAAATGCATTAACATATCCTTCTCCTATTTATATAAATTAGGAGGGAGGATTTCCCTCAATAGAATAGAGGATTTCCCTTAATAGAATAGAGAAATTTCCTCATATAGTTGGGGAAATCTTATCTACTATCAGTAAAAACCAATTAGGGAGCGTCATTGGATAAAAGCCTGGTATATAACATAATTATATGCTTACAAAGATAACAAGAACCAAACTTCCTATTTAGTTAGATAGGAGGAGCATGAAATTATTATCATCATCCCCATAAATGGGCTTATTAACTCATATGTTTATGCTGTTTTATGATCCCAGATGGGAGCAATTACATCTACTAATGGTCTGTCCTGAATCTATCACTTATTCACAATACTCATACAGAGATGATCATGATAGAATCATCACTTTTTTCTCCTGTACATGATGACCTCTATATTTTCATCAAAATTATCCATGAAGTAGCAAACTTTGATCATTTGTGAGATAAGAGAGCTTTGCGCTGTTTCGGATCTCATTAGCTCCTCATCTTCTCAGCCCTGTTAATCTGATTCAAATGCAAGTAGTCAATAAGCAATCATAATTCATATGGTTTCTCCAATCAACTGGCAAAAATAAAACAGCAAAATTGTTGATGATATTAACAATGATCTCAACTTAGAAAAAAGCACAAAATTCAAGATTGCCTTGATCTCCTTGGCAATGAACAAATTTTTGATTTACCACAGATTTTCTTAGCAGATCTCTGATTTCAAATACCTTTTAACTTGTCCAAATGTTTATGGCATAAAATTGGATGATCATCTTTAGTTCAATGTGCTAGATGTTTTTGTTGATTCTACTGGTTTTCAATATGCTTTTTCCTTTTATTTGTTGGTCTAGGGACTGAATATGTGTATAGCTTTGTCATTTTTGGTGGTACTCACTTCATAAATTTTCTAGACCTTGTATGATTGTCTGTTCGTCGTCCCATTGTACATCATTCACCACGGGATCAGGTTCCCTTCCGATCAATTGAAGTGGAACATCCAGCTCTGGTGGAGTCTGTGGAAAGGGAAGCACATCAATTGGATACTAGTTTATATGATTGCTTACTGATGTCCAATAATAATAGTAAACAAAGTACCATGCAGCGGATAAGTGGCCAATTAATCTCCCGGAAGAAGGGGTGTTGTTTGATCTCATTGGCTCCAGTTTTTGATCCCAAACGATTAGCAGGGTCTCTGTTGAGTAATCCATGGATTAACTGCCTGGCTGCAAGACTAACCTGTCAAACACAAACGATCACCAAATAAGAAATTGTCTTTCCATAAGTTCCATGTTGAGATTGGAAGTGCTGAATTTTCAGCAAGAGAACAAAGAAAACAATACTCCCAAACTAAAGACCCTGGATCTATAGAAAACCACATCTTCTAACATGCTTGCCTTGTATGTTTCTATAATACAATCTAGAATAAAGAGCTGTAACAGAACTATCTAATTTGCATTCTATCATTCTGTGTAATGTGCACTCTGTGCTCATAGGGTCAGTTGCCACTAATTAAGAGGGTTGCTAATGAAAATTTTCTGTGTGTGTAAGCTCTTTATTATCTCTTCTGGTGTAGCAGGGCCAATTTTATCAAAAACACAGTAAAAACATATAGTCTGTATTTGTTATAGGAGTCAAAGAGAAGAGATATTGGTAAATTTTGTTATTCTTGGAAGCCATTGGATCTAAAGTAGCTGTAGTAGGTGGACAATGCAAAGAACACCACAATGCACTTCAGAGCAAGGTTCATCGTACCGTATCGTACCGGCGTTTCGACCCGGGCTCGGTACCGGTACGGTACGGTATACCGCTCGGTACACCCAGGTGTACCGAGCACTGTAGCAGTGCTACAGTGCTACAGTGCACTGCTACAGTGCTCGGTACGGGCGGACCGGTACAGGGCGGTCCGCGTACCGCAAGCCTGTCGGACCGGTACATACCGCCCGTACCGGGCGGTACAGTCCGGTACGGCAAACCTTGCTTCAGAGGGTCAACATTTTTTTTTGTAAAGAAAAATAAGGCACAAAAAAGGCTCATAGCAAAAGCTGTTTTTTGTTTTTCTTAACCCATGTTCAAAAAGCATTGTACTATACTCAGAAAAAATCAATCCATGTTCTTGAAGATATCTGTTGAAGGACATCTGAAAGCTTATCAAAATATGTGATGTGAACAATATTACCTAAATAAGGTTAACTTTTCAAGTCCTAAATTATGAATTTCTAGAGCATTTAAGATTTTCAGTCATTGAACATAGGGTATTATTAAGTCATAACAACATACTGAATAATGAATCCTATTGACAGGACAGAAATTTGTAGTGGGAATAATGAATAGAAGTGTGAAGCTGCTATCAAAACCCCATTTTGATCTTCACAGGGCAGCCATTTCTATTTCTTTGTGCTCTATTAGCTACTAAAGAAATTTTAAGCTTATGACTAGCGCTATTGGCATCAACATAGAAAGGGAAGATCGGTTGCCAGTATAGGTTTTGAACTGAAAACCTTTGATTGTATTAGACAGAAATCTTTGTTTCAGTGGAAGAAGCTTTATTTGCAGCTTTTTTGTATTCAGGTATGGTGACAGAATAACCTCATAGTGCCATAAGCAAGAGTCTTGGATATATTGAAGAGAAGGTACTAAATATGATGCAGGTGTATATTACATTTATATGCCATAAACAGTAGGACCTGATTGTGGGGTAAAATTTCTTACTGGAATGCTACTAGGAAATGTGAGGTCCTTATGCAGAATATTTGCAAAGGTCTTCTGCCGATTTTTCCCCCTGAAAGGTGTACGGCCATACAGCATCTCATATAACAAGATTCCTGCATTTTAATTACAAGAAGTCAACAAAAGGCAAAAAAGAGAACTCACAGAATAATATTTTGATTGAAATAAGGACTGTTCCTTGGATTACTACAAGGCAGATTCTTAGTCAATGATCTGGAATTCATGCTGGCATGATTGTCTTATCCTGGTGACTTTTGCTGACATGATTATTCAGTGATCTATATAATTGTTCGTGTGATTATCAATGTAGGTGTGATTATGATTGCAAAATGGCTTTTTCCACCTGCTGTTGACCAGGAAACAGAAGCTACTTGGAATAAAAAAAGAAGATTCAGATTGCAAATATTGAAAACAGAGAGACCTGGATATCTAACATTAGTTAGTTAAAGGTTTTGCTGTGAAAGATGCTTGAGAAAATTTCTCCAGTTAAATGGTGCAGGACCATATGGTGCACCATGGAAAAAGAAATCCAAAGTTTGCCTTTGTTCTTAGCTTTGCTGTTAATGGCATGCTGATGACACACGATAAACTGATGATAAAGGGTGTTGCATAGAATCCCAGATTTGTATGTTGCGGCAGCAGTATTGTGACTAACAGATATACTTTTCTCATGCTCCTGTGAGTAAGAATATGTAGGAACAGAAACTGATAAAGTTCAGCAAGATTAACAGAAGTACATGATTGTATAACAAGAGGCTCTTTCATTCTCTACACATAGTGAAGGCAAGGCTTTAATCAACAATTTTAGTTCTCTGTTGCTGGCTGCCACAGTTTATAATCTGACTAGGAAGAAACAATCACATCTATAAAGATAAAAAAGATGAAAACCTAACCAGACTATTATCAAGAAAATTGTTAATGCGGTTATGTCAAAATTTTCTATGAATGTTATAGTTAAGGATACTGCAGCCAGTTTGCCTTAAGAAAAAGGATACTGGATCTGCTAGAATATTGGGACTTTCCATCTCATTTTGGAGATGACTTGAGTCTGGTGTCAGTCAGAATATCCCTGGTTATGGAATAAGATGATGCCAAGGTTAATGATTCAGAAGATGCAGGCACTGAGTTGCTGGATTTTTCTGATTGTTTTAGCTGTTACAAAATCAAGTGAACAAATATGAAGTATCTGTAATTTGCATCACTGTAGAAGTTGTTGGTGATGTTTCTACAGAGATGTGGATTTGGTGTGAGGGTATGATTTGTTGCAATATGAAGTTATTGTACTATTCAGTCTACTTATTTCTAACGAAAAGTATTTTTACAAGCTATTAGGTGTAGAAAGGTTAAGTTGGCCTAACATTCTACCTATTGTCCTTCAACATTTACAATTCGAATATATGTTGCTTTTAATATTGACAATCATTCTAGCATGGTTTTTTGTCTGAAAAAAACTTGATAGTACTTTCTATTTGCCACTAACAAACTTAGATTGACAAAATTAGGTCATTAGATTGTGAAAATAGAAAGATTTGATAAAAAAATACATGTTTAAGCAAAGAAACACAACTTAGCAATTATGCCTTGTGTGCATGTGCTTACCAAGAGCCCACCAATCAATGGCACTGCTATGCCCTGCTCCTGTAATAATCTCCTGAAAGAAAGAGATTTTAGGAGATATAAGACAATCACAAAAGAAGCAAGCAAGTACTTGAAACTAATTATACTTAATAGTAATATTTCAAAGATATAACGAAAGTAATCATAAAAAGTATCTGCGACTCGTGAAGAAATTTTGGTGATAAAAGACACAACATAGATCAGATTCTGACAGAATTACACTGAAAATCAAAACAACAACGTGGTGGCTTGATTTTTGATATACCAACAGCGTACAAGAAAAATTTTCCTTGCTATTCTTGCAGTATAGCAAGTTCTGTTTGGAAGTCGGATTTCTGTATTATCCACCATGATGCGTATTTAAATTTATGAATTATGTCTTGGTTTTAGTCAAGAGACATGCAGAAAATGTGCCAATATGGTACATGCCAACTAGCAGGCCACTGGTGCATTTATTATATATGCCAGCTAAACTGCATAGAAATAATCAGCATCTGCAACCCATGATATCAGCAGTATCTTAATGTTTGTCCTATGTTTTCCGCTCATATTTTCACAAGTTGAAATTCCTCTTCAAACTATAATTCACATATACATGTTCATCAAAGACAATGAAACCCGATCTATCTGGATATTAGTTTAGGAACCAGTAGAACTAATGCTCAAACAATATTATAAAATCCTATACTTTCTGCTCATATTTCCACAAATCGAAATTCCTCTTCAAAGTCAAACTATAATTCTCATATACGTTTTCATCAAAGACATCGAAACCTGATCTATCTGGATATTAGTTTAGGAACCAGTAGAACTAATGCTCAAACAATCTTATGAAAATGGAAGAAAGTAGAAACAATGAATAACAATCTGAATCTTGTTGATGAAATGAATAAAATTGAGGTCTCCAGAAATAATTTAGAACTCTAGTAACATGGACTATAAATAGTAAATCTTTGTTGTGTGAAGCATGTAATGTTGAGTAGGTTAAGGTTGAGCAAATTTGGGTATATCTATTCACTTCAAATGCGCACGAAGAGGGCTAAAATTTGTCCACAAATCTTCCAAGATTATGAAAATCTTCCAATATTTTCCATATTTAAAAATGTTCAAATCTAAAAGCCTCTCACCATGTCTGTCTATTGTTTCATTCTAAAATGAACAGTCTATAGGTCGTTTATAGTAAAAGTTCACTTTTGTGAAACTTATATGCGATCATTTTGACAGTTTAACCATGATTTTATATCCTTGCATATGAGGCTTGTATGACCATATCTGATCGCAATTCAAGATGACTTATAACATATCTGTAAAAATTGCTGCATATGTATGACAATTGCAACTGATGACCTTTTGGTGTGGATGCTGCAAAGGTTTTAGGACAACCGAATAATGCAGTAATATTGTTGACTTGATGGAAAATGAAACCAGCGAAGACATTTCAGCAATGAAATATGCATCAGGATAACAAAATATGCAGCAGTTGTGGCAATTTAATATAATTCATCATGAGTATATGTGTGCCAAAAGAAAAAGCATGGTAAGCCATTAAATGGATTGGATTCAGTATAAAATAGAGGAAATCTGAAACTAAGAACAGAAGTTAGAGGATATAAAACAGAGAGCAAATAAGTGAGAAAGAAAGAAAGACATAAAAGCAAAGTCAACTATAAGCATGATGCTAGAAGGGTATTTCTTAATTTAAGTTGTGTCATTGTAAAAAGTTAAAAACAACTAAAGTATCACAAGCAGGAGAGAAGACCATACTGGAGCTATATACTCTTCTGTTCCAACAAATGAATTTGATTGAGTACTAGGTTCTGCTACAAAGGTTGGACGAAGATGATCTCTCGATTTTCTTCTTTTTGAGGGTAATGATTGTTTTACCACCTGCATCAGGCAATATAAAAAAGATTTCTCAGAATAGAAAAACTTATGAAAATACTCCAATCAATGAGAGAATTAAAGACCAAAATAATCTAAATATACATATTTCAGTTGACAAAGTATTCACAAGTCGGCAAAATATCTTTTATCCTGATAGAATTAATGTCACTTGTGAACTTTTCAATATCTGTTGTTCGTGTCTTCTTAGTGTTGCTTAGATAATTTATTATCCAGATACATTGCAGTTAAAGAACATTGAGATATGCTTAGTTGTAATCCTTAGATATCTGATTCTAGTCCATCTTGAGAGAAACAGAGAAAATTAAATAGGATATAACAATTAAAGTTTATTGTAAACTCCAACAACAAGTAGTTAAGTCACCCAATTATTTTGGATTGGCTACATGAATCTTTTCATGTCATTGAGCTTTATAAAAGGTGACCTTTCTAATTAATTCAAGAACATTCAAATCTCCTCTTTTGTATCTATGCAAGTCTTCTTATTTGTCCATCTATCTGTCATGGCACCACATTGCTAATCAAAACGCCTCATCTGACCATATCATCTTAAGGTTTCCTTTAAACATATTCACATCATCTTAAACATTCCTCTCATAATTTATTTTTCATTGGACTTACACTTAATTGTTTACAAATAGATAAATATATTTTCTATATATTTTTTAACTTCATGTAGTGACCAGTACATGAAGAATTTCAGCTACACATATTTTTGTATATATTGCATAAACTGACCAACACTTAGATATGCAAAGTTATAAACTATAGTTGGATTTATAACTGACCAATTATATTTATTTCAAATGTCAGTTTGTCCTTGACTTTTGGGAGATTGCGAAGAACCACCTCAAAGTTCACTTCTACAACTTTAACAATTGACACTAAGGTTCTTGGCTTCAAAAACCCTCTACCTCTGAATCAGTACAACTCTCCCACCTTCGTAGCATAATTGATATTTCCTTGTGACATGTTTGATTAAACTGAAACAGTGTCTGCTTTCGCATCCTCCAGGTTACAACCTCTTCCCTTATGAGAAAGGTGGTTATATCCATCAATGATCTTCATCAGTTTGGCAAGGAATCTGAGAGGATAAGTAATTCCAAAACTGTTAAAAACAACACTATCCCATCTGAGTTTAACGACATTTTTAGAATGTGATGGTGCCTGGATTCATCCTAAAGGATCAACAAGTAAAATATATGCTGGTTTGTTCTCCCTATTTTGTCCTGCTCAAGCTGAAGAAATTGTCATTCTAAAGGGACTCTAAGCCAATTCTCTAGGTTTTCGGTAAATTATATTCCTTTTGGACTCCTTAAGATGCAGCAATTTTGTCACTAATATAAACAAGGTACCTTGGTACATCATTTCCTTGTTTCGTAACATTTAGAACTTGATCATGGAGGTCAATAATGTCTGTTTTAGACATATTCCTAGAACTATTAATAATGAGGCCCACCATCTTGCCTCTAGGGAACTCTACCGAATGGGAAATCATCTTGGGAGATAATTTGGACCATACTGACATCTTTATAGACACTGCCTATCATTTTGACTAATTATTAATCTTATTTTTTTTTAAAATAACTGTCTTATGAAAATTTTCTCTTAATCTAAGGGATATCCTGTGATGACACAAAACCATTGATCTCCCTCTCCACTTCATCCAACTTTAGAATATGAATAATATATTCATCAATTTCTTCATCTTGTTAAATAATAAATCGGGATATATCTATAACAAGTTTTCAAAATCTCCATCCTATCTCAAGATTATTTACTAGTCAAACCAATATGATATTGGTATAAATCCATGTATTCGCACTCAAACCATTCGATACTATTTGGACCAAAGAGAAAGAGGGAGAGAAGATGGTTGGAGGAAGAGAAGAGGAGTAGGATAAGGCATAATTGTAGGTGGAGAAGATGATGACCTTGATGAGGATGAGAAGGTAGTAGTAGTGGTGGCATATCATAGATGTTTGCCCAATATGAAACGAAAAAGAGGAAGGTAGTAGTATCGACAGATCCATTTAAAAGGATTGTTGAATAATAGTTTCAATCCGATGATGAGACACCATCTCCCTCATAATCCATATATGTGAGGTCTGTGGAAATAATAGCAACATCAATAGTTGTACAGTGATTGATGGTGATGATGGCGATAGTCGATTATTCCAGCTACTTAGCCGTAGGGTGGGGCATGGATGAAGGAAAAGCACCTTATGTATGCCACCCAGATCATGGAGCTCGAGTGTCTACACATTATTTATGGCCAGAAGGATAAAGGTAAGGGAAAGATAGTCAATGACTATGAATAGATTAGTCAGACCTATATGATATGGACACTCATAGGAGTTCATTGTATTTGTAGCCTTCACATCACAAAGATTCTTATAGCCAACAATTATATGATGATAGTTAGTCATTTTTTTTTTAGTTCGATCATTCCTACATTACAAAGCAATAGGTCAGTGATGATAGTTGAAGTTCTAGTGCACTCCAACCTCCATAGCCCTATGTACTATAGTCATACTTACCTCAGTGGGCTCTTTAGTCATGTGTAATTAATGATGATGAGACAATGATCGTTTCCACATTGATGGATCAATAACACATGGGTTACCAGTACAATGTTATTTGAGCAGTTCCAATATTGGATTCAACAAACCAGCCATATTGACATGAAACTTTATAGGATTAAGGACCCTGTTCCATGATTTCAGTCATCCATTTTAGTGGTAGAAGAAAGTATATATAATATTATCTTAATTAATTATTTTATTTAAATTTTAAAGTTTTTGAATCTAATCTAACATATAACTCTCTTTCCTATAAGTGACTAAAGATAAACAAAAGCACATTCCTTCGGAGGATTGTGTGACAAAGTTGTTCCTCGACATATCTGAAAAGACAAAGATAATTTTTCATCTATATAACCTTGAATTTCTATTCTCTTATGGCTTAGATACATTTTATTCTTATATTAATATAATTTATATATATATAAAATTAGGACAAAAAACCATGAAATAGGGTTTTTTAATTTCTAGCCATCTTTTTGGCCCTTTTTTGGAACACCAACACTAACCGACACATACCGATTTGCCTAGTGACCGATATAACCAATTGACATGAGACAACATTCCTTGGTTTTGGCATTTAGTCTTCATATATTACCTTTAATGCCAGTATTTAATTTAAATCATGGTCAATCCTTTTCAAATACTAAAATAGCCAAAAACCATAATAAAAATATGGCGGCATTTTTCATCAATAGGATACAAGAATTTTGTTGGCTTGTTTTGACCAAGAACTACTGTGGCCTATAATTTTCCTTTAAAAATTCTATATTGAAAACCAAATTATAGAATTCTTTCTATTCAACACATTTAATCCAACCAAAAACACTACTAGCTAGAAATGGATGTGTGACTCCTTAATGGTCCCACTTTGGAAGATGAGGAAGATTTTGCTAGTATATATGACTTTGATGGTCAGTTACTAATAATACTTTTGGGCCCTGTAGCTAGGCCCCAACACAATCATTGTTAGATTAGTAGATCAGTGGCGTAATAACCAAGTAATATAGCATATATATGGATCATAAATGTCCTTGGTATTCATCTGATCCTGCACTGATACTATGTAGGAATGACAATGTCAGTAAACATAGATTGGTACCTAAATCCATGATATGGCATGCACAATCTATGACTTAATGTATTGATCCTGAGTATCACGCAGCTATCTATGACTTAATATATTTACTAATTACTACTAATTTGAGTGGGCTTAAACAATTTGTGCCACATAATGCTACTACATATAAATTACTAGGTTAGTCTATAATTCATGAAGGATCTCAATGCTAAATGTATTATACATCTCGCATTCTCTATCAATCATTTATGTCTCTCAGTTTATTGAACTTGTTTCAGATATACCTCTTTTTATTTGTTATAAATTTAAAGGTTATTTTAATTAATTTCCTTTGTTCTTGATAGAGTCACTATACAACTAATTTGTAGTATTTAAAGTTTAAACTACTGAACTACAAAAGAAAAGTACAAATCAAAAGTATCAGTTTAGATTGTAGAGCGAGCAGAGCAAGGTTACATTTCTTAGTGACAGTAAATGACACTTCCAGAGAAAGGAGATAGAGTATGTATATAAAAGCCAACCATGTTAAGAAATGGAATCGGAAAGCATACTTGTGGTTTACAGTTTGTCAAGAATGATAAATCAAAGTCTGTCAACACGACATGCCCATCCTTCTGGAGTAGGATGTTTTCAGGCTTTAGATCACGATATATAATACCTATGTGAAAATGACAGAAATAGTTGTTAGACATGATTTTACATTTTAGTTGTGAATTGAGCACTTCAAATGCAAACAATTGGCAATGCAAAGAATGAAGAGAGAATATCCTACATGATAAACCCTGTAGCAATCAATTTTTTATTTGAACATAAATGTGTACAGCCAATAGTAATTTTAGCACTGTCAACAGCATTTTGTAATGACATTTTCAATATTAAAGTGAATTTTTGCCTCAAAATGAATCTTACTAATGATTCTTGTTGTTGAATTTGTAATGTGAATTTCAACATGAGCCTTGATACAACAATTGGGTTGCTCCTTTGCAGCCTAGATGATTAAGGTTTGAGTCATGGAAACGGTCTCTATACTTGGGTAAAACTGCATATGTCAACCCTCCAAATATGTCTGAACTCTCTGTACCCAGACCCTACATTAGTGGAAACCTCCTACACAAGAGTCACCATCTTTACTAAATTCTTGGCTATGGAAATCCAAATCAAAAAAGGCTCATATCAATGTGCCTGTATCATTTGGACAATGGACCAGAATGTGAGCAACCCAATTTCAAGTTATACCACTTATTTAGCACCACATCACTCGGTCTTGGTTGAAACTAGTTGAAGTCCTAGTTGTTCAATTTCAATTGAAAGTATCAAGTGGCCAAACCCAAGCCCTAATCTCCACATTCTTTGTTTTGTGACACCCCCCTCTCTCCCATCTCCTCCAATAACCTGTTCTAACTGCCACCTCTGACCAAATCCGGTGGCGCCTCTTGCTTTGGCAAGCCCTCCACCTCACAGGCTGACAATTGTAAGGTCTTGACCATGAGACAAAACTGGGACCCCATTATCCTCTTTTGATTTTTTATCATTGAGCCATCACTAACTGATATATCAAATTATTTGCATATCATATTGGATGGTTTTGGTAACAGAACATACATCATTGACTACAACATCAATTAGAGTAGAAAAAAGAGGAAGTGAAGGAGCAACTTTTCCTCCTATTAAGAAAGATATATACATTTTTAAAGAAATATGAGATTATACAAAAAAGAAAAAAAATGACAATATGCATACTATTGGTGAATTTCTTATCAATAATTGCAACTGATAAGATCTTCTAGAAGAAAATTTAACAATTAGAAATCTCTTGAAATGTTGATACTGGAGTTAAATGAACATTGTTGTGGAACTGCACACATGATTTAGTTGACTGATTTACCTTGGCAGTGAAGATATTCTAGACCAACCACAACTTCAGCTGCATAGAACCTGAAAATTATTTGAATATCAAAAAAAGAGATAATAAGAAACAAGATAACTTCAACTATATACAAGAACTATTTTGCATGATATTAAATCACAAACATCAGTCATTCAAGAAATATTTCCAGAAAACCTGCAAACCTGATTAAATATATTTAAGAATTATCATAGCATTTCTTTGATTAAATGGCTCCAATATTCACTATAATACACCAATTAATAAGTGCTAGTAACCTTGTTCTGGATACACCATGAGAAGCTGATTGAGACGGTCTTGTTTTAATTTCATGGAGAACTTTATTTTTCTATTGCTAAGTTCTTGATTATAGTACTGGATATAGGTTGTAGTTGTTGCTATTAAGCAAAAATTTGGATTCGTAAAATTAAAATAATTTTATTCATTCATCACAAGTTCTTGCTACTATCTTACTAACATGTTGTTATGACTAATTTTCTCATGGTGAATAGGTTAAATTATTACTTAATTACTTGTTATTATTTGTCATAATATAAAACTGCATACCTTAACACACTAAATGGATGCCAAAATTTTGCCATATATATATATATATCATATATAACATTCTGTGCCCAAAATCTTTATTGTTGTACCCACATTGCATCTTCTTATTTTAACATGTTTTGACATCCATACATACATACATACATACATACATACATACATGCATATAAATATATATATATATATATATAGTATCAATCTTTCATATGTTATGATTGGTTCATAGAGCAAAGCATAGTTTTGGGGAGGGAAAATCTACAGGGTAGCATAATAATCAAGTCTCCAATATTTAAAAGCTCTGAAAAGAACCATACTTTGCACATGGAAAAACTATTTTGACTAGTCAAATCCATAATTCCTAGGTCACAATGGAATAAGTACTCTTACGAGTGCCTATATGGATGAATACACTCATCAAGATATGCATGTGCATGTCAATGTACAGGTTTTTCTCCTACTGACAGAAGAAAAACAGCTATTTTAACTGGTTAAGACATGGTTATGTAAACATTTCTTATACTTTTTAGTTGTACCTCGCAGCTTCCTCTTTGAAAATCTTCATAGGTTGCTTGTCAATCAATGCAAATAGTTCTCCTCCAGGACAAAAGTCTGTAATTAGGCAGACGTGTGTTGTGGTCTAAGGAATATAAGAGAAATCAGTAACTTAGATTTGATTGACAAAGGCCATTTAGCAATAAGAAAACTAGTGTAACTTAGATACACCACTATGACTACCATAGTGCATCAAAGTACTCTCAAAGATAAATCAGTGGTTGGATCAAACACAACTAGAGGAACCAGAAAGTGTGAACCAAGATTGTAGTTATGACAGTAGATAAAATGAACACAAGTGAAAGATGAAGACAAGTCAATAAATATCTACGTATAGATGTTCAAATGTTGTATGTGACTTTCTTTTATATCCATATTAGGATTCTATCATGAATTACAGCTTTGTCATGGAATTGTCGAAAGATAAGATTTCAAGTAGCAAAGAATGCATTTTCACACATGCATCATAATTCATATATTGGGATTAATTAGATGAAGTTCATGGCTTCATGCAACAACATCACATTCCTAGAGAATCTAGCAAGTGAAATTACAGTTTTGAGACTTTTGCATAAAGGCAGATAGAACGTTAGAACTATTAATATTTACTGACTAGCATACAGAATCCTAGTGCCTTGCATAATCTTGCTTGAATCATTCACTTTAGTTTCTTTTCGTATAAGAGTTGACACTCTTTTACATGGATCGCTTTTGAAAAAACAAAAATGGAGAATTTGAGGATAATTTGTCAGGATTCTGAACACCAATCAAATCAAATTAATATCAAATGACATGTTGGAGATGTAATATAAAGTTGACTTTATCCGGTCAACTTTAACAAACAAGCGATTACTAAATTGGATGCTCTTACTACATTGAATTTATTTTGTTGTACATAAATGAATGAAGATTTAAGTTGTTGGGTCAGAAGAATAATATTAGTGATGTGTAATTATTGGTGTGACATCTCGATAGTTATCACATCAAGCTTTCATGAGATGACAAACAACATCGTAAACCAGGAAATTTCATGCTGTTCCCCATGAAGGATGTAAATTATTTGACAGGGTAGATAAAAGAACCCAAAAGTCGACATTTGGAACTAAGGTAAACAAGAACTTTGAAGTATATGACTTGATTGGTATATCATTTATAGCTTGGTTTTGAGCATTCTAAATTTAGGCCACAGAGGATAATGTCTACTCAGGTTAATGAACTAGTATGTAACTTGGGTTGAATTAGAAAGAGAGTGCAAATACAGAATAAGGGTCATAGAGCAACACAATTTCAAGTTATACCACTTATTTAGAATGAACCTCTTTGGAATTAAGGATCAAGGCTGCATAAATACAGCCCTCTACAATGCTGGAACATGTTTTTGGTACATTTGTTAATTATGTGCAATTGTTTATTTATATCAACTTTTAAGGGAAACAAAAGAACAACTTCTACAGAAACTTTAATCTTGAGAATTAGGTCCATTGGTCAAAAGAGATAATAGGAAAAAATTAGCAAGTCCAACTCATTCTGCTCCTTATAAGGTGATCTAGAACAATATCCTCCAATATAAACATGTTAAATGAATGCTAAAGGAGACTACAGATGATTTAGATAAAGAATTGAGACCCAGAAATCAGAACAAAGTGGTAGTTATTTGAAAATTGTCTTTTACGATAAAAGTTGACAAAGGATTCATATTTTAAGGTCTAAATCTAAAGCATGATCAACTTGATCAGCATCTCTTGATGTATCTAAGAAGGTATTAAATGTTGGTACCTCCAGAATCTTATTGAACTGATACATATTACCCACTAGTCACTAGTCAGTATGGTTTAATACGTCTTTGTAGAAATACTAAATGATACTTGGAATTGCCTAATACATTGATATTAATCAGTATAATTGATTCATTGGTTTACAGATACATGATGATGCTGTGTCCGATGAGGAAGCTCAGTAAGCATGATGGATATTGAGACAACTTCCAGTACTATATTAGGCATGGAAAGAAGAATTGTGAATCCCTTTGGGTTGGAGATTAATCAACTGAACATATTTTTCATTTTAATCAACTCAAAAACCAATTTTAGCACTTTAGAGGGTGATTTTATAAATATTATAAGTTGCCACATGGCAAAATCTTCTATATTTCTACTTTACTATTCTAAATTGCATGACAAGAAGAAAAAGAAAGACAATGAGAAAAAGTTGAAAAAAATTAAAACTTGGGTTTGATTGAAGATTACAAACGAGACAGGAGTTTTCTTGAAATTTTGTCAACAAGGAGGGTTATTTGTCAAAGCAAATATGAAAATATAGAAAGAACAAACAATTTTCATAGATACATGGTGGTATATACTATATAGAAAGGGGTGAAAGGGACTGTAATTGTGATCATCAACACATTAATGAATGATTTTTTTCCCCACAATACTAGTAAATTGAAGGAGACTACAATGTTTCCTCAAAGTGAGTATGGAAGGATTGGAGTGAGTCTATAACATTCATCCAATTTCTATCTTCTTGTCCTGTCTCTCTTCAACCTATCCTTCCTCTTAGATCATACCATTATATCAGTCCTAAAGCCCCCAAACCCCTGTTATCGTATATCATTTTTCACCATACACAATCCACAAAAAACCCAAACTGTTGAGAACCTAATGCTGATGGAGCTGCCAATCATTGGAAACAAGTGCTTCAATTGATGCATTTTCTCCTTTCAAAATTACATGTTTGAACCTGCAGTAATTGAATTTTCATTGTCGAAATAGTTCTAATGTAAACTGAGTGCATTTTACATATTCTCATATCTGCCTTGTCCTTTTTCTTCTTGTTTCACTAATTTTATTCTCAGTCCCTTAAGCCCTTAGCAACCATTAGGATGTCCTATATTAAAGAAACTTCTAAGTTCTAATGTAAAGAATAGGATTTGAGACCCAATTAAATTGCAGTGAGGGTTTGGAATTTGCATGGCTTGATAAAAGCATACAAAAGCTTCATATTATACTGTTTGAACCACCACATGATAAAAAATGTTATACAAGGTTGTGTGAAGAGTGAAGACTATGCAGCTTTGCTTCACTTATCACTGCAAATGTAACACTGATGGCTTTGCTCCACTGATATATAATAAGGTCAAGGCTATGCAGCTATGCACCATGGCTTCCTCATTTAGATATGTAAACCCAATGATTTTTGAAGTATTTCATAGTGCATGGAATATTAATAAATTAATTTACTACGAAAACAAATAAAATGGTGGTTTTGATTTTTGAGCAAACCTGAAAGGAAGTGTAAAGTGTTGGAAGAAATGGATGGTCCAATAGTGAATAGATCTCCCTCTCTACGCATGCTCGATGAACCTGTTAAATCCACAAAGAGTCAGTCTCATTCACGAGTAATTGTATATTCCTACACTAATTTTAGTAGTTTATCACCTTTTGTATATCAGTGTTTTACAGTGAATTAAGCATAAAAAAACTAGACTTCTGCATATCTTAAGAGTGTCAATAGATTATAAAATTTTGTCACTTTAAGGTATACATGGAACTGGAAGTATTCAGTCATCTTACAGAGATGGACAATGGAAAATGTTTTCTAGCCTTTGAACTATGTACATAGTTCTTGTAGATGGTCTAACAAATATACGTAAGAAAATGATACTTGACGTTTGATCAGCTAATCCCACATCTCAGTGGAAAATAGCAACCCCTTGTCAAATGAGTTAGCAAAATATATGCTTTACAAGTCTAAATATACTCGGATGATATATCTAGTGATATCTTCAAGCTTAGGAATCCATCTTATACTGGTTACTCTTTACATAATAATGAAATCAGGAAAAAATAAAAAAATTATTGCATATGGAACTTGAGGATTTGTTGGTATATAGTCCATGCATTTTAATCTCAGATTTAGATTCTTGTTTCTATAGAAAATGCATAGCTATCTATAGTTTTACACTATCAACAAGCACAGCAGTGTTAGCTGTTAAGTACATTTTGACTTCTCAAGTAAAAGAAAAGAAAAACAATTTTGATATTGAGGGAGAAGTTTTTTGTCTTGGAATGTTCTTGGGATATTTATGGACTTTGTTGTGTGCAATCTACAACTGTGCATACAAAATAAAAAGTATTGTTGGAGCTAAGACTCCACATAAGAATATTGTTAGATGCAGAATTTATTCTCATGAAAGAAGTATGGAATTCATTATTTAAAAAATACCATCATAGAGAAATATTCATTAAGATTTGATTAGAGAAAACCTTGTTGCGATTCAACATTACTGATTTGTCCATAGCCTTCATGGCAAATAATTCACCGGTACCCTGCAGTTCCACCAAATGTACACTGAAACAAAGGCCAATAGTTAGATTTCAATGGACAATAAAGTTTATAAAATTTAAAGAGAAAAGTTGTGACAAAAGAGAAATGTGTGCTATGTGATTACAATATGCCTCATATCACATTACCACAATTTTATATACAAGTTTTTATTGCACCTAAAATTGTAAGAAATTTTAGAACCATTACTTCTGTTTTGATATTTTGAGTTCATTATCCAGTTCATAAATTCCTTTTAGAAGTTATCCTAAGCTTGCAACTTACAAATTCATTAGTGACAGTAACATAAGCAGTTTTGGTGGAATACTCAAGAATGAGAAGACTCCATAACAGGCCATGACCAACAATTTGGGATTGGTTGCATGGATTTTTTCTCTCGAATGAACTTGATGAAGGGGCATAATCCAATTTTAGATTGCTGCTAATTAGCTATGCTTTAGAGTCTTATTATTATGTTTGTCTTATTTTTGCAGTCACTTTATTGCTCTCATTAAGAGTCTTCTAGTAAGTAGTGTGTTGACTACTTGGGAGCATGTTTTTTTTTTGGTTGGGATGTGTTTGTCATTATTGTAGAAGCTCAAGGGTCTCCTTTGAGAAACATATACTTCCCATTAAATGAAAAAGAAGGCAGTCTTTTGGTTTTGCTTCTCTAAAAATATCTACAGATAATTCTCAGCAGGTTATGCTTGGATTGAATCTTCCTATCAAGCTATTGGCTTGGTCGCGTTGAGTGGCATCCATGATTAGCAACATCGAGTGGCATTCATCGCCTTCAGTTGAAGAAAAGACTTGTAGAAGCACTAGTATTAGCATTGCCCAACTTCTCCAAGACTTTTCAAGTGGAGTGTGATGCTTCTGGCATTGGAATAGGGGCTGTTCTAATACAAGAAGGCAGAGCAATTGCTTATTTCAGTGAGGAACTAAGTGATGCTAAGTTGAAATATTCAACATACAACAAGAGTTGTATATGGTACTTCAAGCCTTGCAACATTGGGAAGATTATATTATCAAAGTGGAATTTGTGCTTTATTCAAACCACCATGTTTTTAGGTTCCTTAAACCATCATGAGTTGCTTACTTGAAAAAACTCAGCTTTGTTCTAAAACACAAGGCTGGTTCATCTAACAAGGTAGCTGATGCCTTGAGCAGGAAGTACAGCTTGCTGATTACTCTTTCTTATGAGATTATTGGATTTGATCTTATATCAGAAAATTATGCAGCTGACCCTCTCTTCTCTGAAGTCTTACAAGAGTTGGATGAGATAAAAAATAGTGATTACACTTATGAATGACTATCTTTTCAAAGGAAATCAGCTTTGTTTACCGGAAGGTTCTTTATGAGTATTTGTCATGAGAGAATTGCATGGTGGTGGGCTTGGAGGACATTTTGGGTGAGACAAAATAGAAGTACTTGTTAAAGAAATATACTTTTGGCCTATAACATAAAACGGGATGTTGCTAGATTTGTGCAAAGATGTTATATTTGTCAAAAGGCCAAAGGAGGAGTGCAAAATACCAGTTTATACCAGCCCCTTCCTATTCCTAATGCTTCTTGGGAGGACGTCTAAATGGATTTTGTTTTTGGTTTGCCTAGAACACAACATAGATATGATTGCATTCTGGTGATTGTTGAAAGATTCTCAAAGATGACTCACTTCCTACCTTGTAGAAATTCTCATAATGCCTCACATGTGGCCAATTTATTCTTCAAAGAAGTAATTCATTTGCATGGAGGCCCAAGGTCCATTACTTCGGAACATGATGTGCAATTTGTGACTCACTTTTGGAAGACACTTTGGAAACTTTTGGGTACTAAACTGCAATTTTCTATTTCCTATCATCCACGAATAGATAGCCAAACAGAAGTGGTGAACCATTCTCTTGGGAATTTATTGAGAAGCTTGGTCGGTGACAGTCCTAAAAGATGGGAGTTCATTCTTTCTCAAGCTGAATTTGCCTACAATAGCTCTCTTAACAGATCCACAAAAAAAGCTTCATTTGAAGTGGTTTATGGCAGATACCTTAATCAAGTTTTGGACTTAGTCTCACTTACAAATCAGTCACATCTTAGCATGGATGCAGAGGGGTTTGCTGCCCACATTAAGACCATTCATGATCAAGTTCTTTAACAGTTGAGGCAAACTTCGTAACTCTACAAGTCAAAGACCAATGTGCATAGGAGGCATAAAGAGTTTGAACTTTGAAGAAGGTGATCTTGTCATGGTTTATCTTTTAAAAGAAAGATTTCCTTCTAGAACATATAGTAAACTTAAGCAAAGGAAGTTTGGACCATGTCAAGTTGCAAAAACACTCAGACCCAATGCTTACTGCTTGGAGCTACTAGATGGGTTGGCAGTCAGTCCAATTTTTAATGTGTGTGACTTGAGTCTATTATATGGGGACGAGGATAATCATAATATTATCATAAAGCCGAATGAATTTGCCACCAAGTCTATGAGCTCTACTAGAGAAGTCATTGATGCATTGGATGTTTGAAGTATTATAACAAAGTGTGGCACTTATGCTCAATACATAGTACATTTCATGGGAAAGCCCGGTTCTAAAGATGTATGGATGTTAGCTCAAGAACTCCAGAAGATTGACGAGGCACTTTGGAGGTAGCTCACTACAAATTCGAAGTCCAATTTTTCTCAAGCCAAGAAGAATGATGCAGGGGCATAATCTAATTTTAGATTACTGCTAATTAACTATGTTTTAGAGTCTTATTATTATTATTATTTATTTCTGCTGTCACCTTATTGCTCTCACTAAGTCTTCAGTAAGTAGTGTGTTGACTACTCGGGAACATGTTTTTTTTTTCTGTTGGGATGTGTTTGTCATTATTGTAGAAGCTCAAGGGTCTCCTTAGAGAAACATATTCTTCTCATGGAAAAGAAGCTAGTCTTTTGGTTTTTGCTTGGATTGAATCTTCCTATCAAGTTATCGACTTGGTTGCATTGAGTGGCATCCACGATTAGTGACGTTGAGTGGCATCCATCACCCCTGGTTAAGTGACATCCTAGGACATATCCTTCTTAGTTGAAGTCTTCAGATTTTGGCTAAATTTGCAGGTGCTGGCTAGCATTAGAACTCTATCGAAATGTTATTGGGAAGGTAAAGCACCAACTTTCTCATTGTTTGTGATCAAGTCTCCCTATCCTTCATTCACCTCTCTTAGCATCAGCAGTCAATTTCACCCACCTCATTGATTGGTGCAACCAAGGTTTTTAATCTTGTACCATATCGGCATACCGAGCCTTGCTCGATACAGTATGTACCAGCATACTGAGTGGTATGCCAAGGCGCACCAAGCAGAGAACACAAAGCAACTTAGGGTTTTTGTACCTGATTGTGGACGCGGAGGAAAACTCCCCCCACCAATGGGCGAAGTGCCTCGGGGCCAACTGGTGCATGCACGAGGGGGAGTGGCAGAGGGGGAAGGCTTCTAGAAACGGAAAGTTCTCGTGGCCCTCCAATGCAACCTTCATGGGCAAGCTCCGTTCTGGCCAGATGGAAGCCTTCGGGACCACTGAGTCGGAGGGCAATGCTTGCCTTGGTTCCTGTGTTGCCAACCGAGAGCATGGGTTTGGATGCAAGTGGCACTCTAACGACGACTATCACGAGGGTGGCTAGTGGCGCAACGCACAGGAGGGCTACGATCAGTACATGTGGTGGAGCGGGAACCAGTACATCGGCGAGTGGTGGAATGACGTAATATTCGACCGCGGGGAGCTCATTTGGGCTAATGGCAATCACTATGACGACCACTGAGAGAATGTCATTCCGAAGAGGAGCAGCGTGTTCACTTGGCTGGATGGTAATTGCTACGTAATGCTCGGTATAGGTCGGTAATGGTTGAAATTTCGATCGTTACCACCAGGTACAGCCTCGTATCACCCGATACGAGGCCAAAAACCTGATACCACCCGATAGTGGGCAGTCCACGTGTCGATCTATTGGCAGATTGGTATGTACCGCTCATATCGAGCGATACGGTATGAAATTAAAAACCCTGGGTGCAACTACAAGATAGTCGATTGCCAAAAAACCTTAAATTGTGTTATTGTTGGGGAGGGAGAAGAGAATTCCAAAACCAAAAGAAAACACCCAGAGATCAACAATCAAAAGAATATATGGGAGAGCTGACACAAGATTAACGTGAATCGACAAATCCTGCCTTCATCCATGGAGAAAACAAAATTCTTCACCATGTGAGATCAATTACAATTCCCCACTCAAACATGATTTCCTTGTAGACCCTCTTACATAAATTCCAAAAAGTTTACGCCCGTTTCTCTCACCCTCTCGTGAAGGAAGGAAACCCTAGTAATTAGCTACTTTCTATCATTTTATTCTTGATCAGAGATTTAGAACTATCCTAGTTATTATTGAATACATTTGTTATTCTTTTTTCTAATAACTCCACTTATTTGTCTCTCTGCATCCTCATCTCAAAAATACTAATATTATTGATAAAATTTTGATATTGGATATCAATAATTAACCTTCTAAATCTGATGGCAAATCCCAGCCTAGGAAACTTGGGAAAATAAATTTGATTAGAGATCCATGTCTAGTTTCCAAATAAAAAGATTTACTGTAATGGTTATATTTTTGGCTTGTGTAACCTGTTGTGTCCACCAATTTTTGTTTAAACCTAGAAAGTGAATAAAAAAATGAAATGACAACTCTTGCAATAGGGAGCATTGCTCATCCAAAGACAAATAAAGAAAGAAAAGTATGAATACCATACCGAAATATAACAGCCTATAAATGCTAAATACAGTGATAATCTACAATTATGTAGAATCACTCAATCAAAGATGCTAATAATATTATTTATACAAATAGCAACATTTGAAGATGCCTACACAAAATGCAAAAAAATGATACAGACCGAAACTAATACGAAAAAACTATTATGTAATATTTCTATGTTTTTTGAAACTGATTTCCAGCAACAACTAGGATGTTGAAGCAGGTTCTATGGAGATTGAATTCCACACTACATAAAAAAGGATGGAAATCAATTCCAAAAGATATTCTCCTCGAAGTAGGAAACCGAAGCTTTGCAAGGTTGGGATTGGGGCAAACGAAAGCAATAAAAGGAAAAAAAAGCTATTAATGAGAGGATCCTCAACCCTATTGATAAGAAATCTTGTACCGTCAAATGCTACAGTAGATCCTAATCATGTGTAATTTTCCACTTATTTGGAAAACTAGTACAAAATATATCCGGCTTGCTCAAGTAATTTAATCTACTATCACGGACAGCTTGTAGGGAAGGTGTTTGACACAATGTGTAGCTGTGTTCGTGCTTTTCAGTTTTGTTCATATCTTGACAGCATGTAAGGGGTTTGTACTGGGCTTGGCAATCTCATTTTGGTTGGCTTTGGTAACTGTTTCAGGCTTGTACACACAGGATGTGTGTGATCATCGTATAGAGGCAAAAGTGCCTAAAAATAAGCCATCCATGTAGCTATTTTGGGTGTTTACTAGGTGCATAGAGTGGTAGAAATGTTAGTCATCTCAACACTCTAGAGCTATCTGGGTGGCACAGCGTTGGATGGGCCTTTGGGGTAGTTTCTAAGGCTAGTTCACTGTCTAGTTTCGTTATGTCATACGGGCACTAGAGACTATTGGGTGCAGCAGATTGCTTTAGACCCTTTGTTGCATAACCATTAAGGGCTTATGAAATTCATCTTTATATTTTGTATTATCTATCAAGTGTTTACTAAAATTTCTGCGTATGGGATCTCGATTTTAATGATTCCATTGACTCATCTTCTCTTTTGTAGGACCTTAGGGGATCCTGCGAATTTGCAGCGAGGCTGACCCCCTGCGAACGGACACGCAAAAGTGCCACATGACCTAGAAAAATCTTGCTAAGTTTGTTACACTATGTCAGTTACATGCATTATTTCCGATGTTTTAGCTAACTATCCTCTATGCCATCATGTTCATTTCCTGATAATTTTTAGTCATATATTTTATATTAATCTGTGCTAAAACTTCTAACTAGAATCTCTTAAGGATCTTTCTCTTTATTGTTATTTATAGTGGGTTTTTTTCCTAATTTTACATTTTTTCGTTGTAGCAGTAATAATGTAATATACGATATATCCATGAATCTCATGCTATAAATATATTCTGGAATTTTTTGTACTTCTTCAAAAAAAGCAATGATCTTTTTCTTGGAAAATAATTAAAGGCATGATATTCCATTTCCAGACAACCATACGGGAAATGTCACAAGTGATACTGAAATTGAAATGAGAAGTCCATAATATGATATTACTGACATCAAAGATAGCAATACCTTCCAGTGTCCCCACATCCTAACGGTCTTAGAGGCCTAAAATTCTTCAAGCCAATTTCTTCACCTTTTCCAGCAATCTATAAAACCAGAGATAGAAATTAAATCTTATATGATTTAATTGATAATATAATGAATGCAGGTAGTGCAACAAGCACAGTGCAAAATAGATTAACCAAACTATATATGCAAGTTAGGAGATCTTATATGATTGATCTCCGAGCATAATTTCACTCATACAAGAATGCCAAATCATACTTCTTTTGTACCAGAGAATTCAATAAACAGCAATGATGGAACTTAAAAATCAGCAATAGCTTAAAATCAGGATAATGTAATGGACATTCAGAATTCATAAAGTACCTAAATATTTGTTGAACCAACTCTTATAAACTTCCCCCAAGTTCATATTCCAAAATTCATTATTTACTTGACAAGACATTTTTTATTAATAGTCAACTTATCAAACTCACTTTTCCATAATTATTGAGAGTTCATACATGGAGGCTAATTGATATAGGACATTTACTGTTTACTATTGTCTGTATGAAAAGTTACAACTCTCAAAGATTATGCCAATATATTAATTTCTTTTTATGTTTTAACTTGTCTAAATTCTATGTGATGTGATGTTCTTTTGCCTTTCATCTCTAAATTCCTTCCCCAAAAAGAATGTCGGGTTATCATGTGTAATGTTCTTCAATGCTTTTTCTCATATTAATTTCTCATTCTGCCCCTTGTTCATGTTTAATTTTTTCTTATTCCAAGTGCCAAAACAACAGGCATATATTTATAGGGTCTTTTGGACTTTGTGGTTTCATGGTAGCAAATTTCATATTGGTGCATCTATTGTGAATCAGTACATAATCATATATAAGGATCCAACTGCTAGTTTTGAAAAAGAGAAAGTTTGATTTCATACTTAATTTATTTGTTGAGAGTAGAGAGGATGTCTCTTGCTCAAAGAGTATCTTTATGGTGACCAAGATATTGAAGAGCAAGGGCATAGGCCAGTGTTGAAAAAGAGAAATTTTGATTTCATGCTTAATTTAATTGTTGAGAGTAGAGAGGATGCCTCTTGCTCAAAGAGTATCTTTATGCTGACCAAGATATTGCACAGCAAAGGCATAGACCCAGCCACTATAAAAGAAAATTTATTGCAGACTGATAATAGGCTCTTTCATCTTTCAGGTGTAACATATCTAAAACTAAATAGCTGTTGTTTTCATAAATAACATGTTTCAGGACAAATCCCATCCCCTTCCCTCCATAAAAAAGATAATAATTGTAAGTTGTAACAGTATACACAATAAGAATAATTATGACAGTAAATAAAACATCAACAGAAACTGTTGGCTTCTTCAGATATACATAACAATCTCCTGATTTTAAAGAGTTTAACCTGAAAATTCTGTGTTGCACCTAAATACGCAGAACATGTTTCTGAGCAACTAATAACTTAAAATGAAAAGGTCAGAATTGTCATGATACCTCTCCATTACCTTATAAATGTGGCTACACATTTGGCACTAAACACAATGTTGAATGAGTACCTTATTAATTGCTACCCAAGAAGAATTGTTCTTTTTGTGAGGCTTTGGAAAGACAGGTTTTGAATGGATTGCCCACAAGTACTCTGGTCTCTGAATGCAACAAAATATTGGTCATTCAACCATGAAAGTAAAAGCTAAATATAAGTTTTTTATATGGCACTAAATAAACATTTTATGAAATCTAAAAATATTTATGTACAGAAAATACAAATGGAAGTGCATAGTGCACACTACAAATTAAAGATGAAAATTGAAAGACAACTGCTTTACTACATCTATCTGTCTATATTAAGTTAATATACAATAAAGGAGCACTTATGAAGACTTCTACAATGACGACCACAAAACTACTACTACCACTAATACCAACCAATGCTACTACCATTAATACTACTAGTACCACCTACCAAGCACTACTATAGTAGTATGAGCAACTGTTCCCAACTATTTAGGGTCCACTGCATGGAACATTATGTCATTGAGCTCTTGATTGTAGTATTAGTTGATAATCCAAAATGCCATCATACCTTATATTATTCTTATAATACATCTAAATGTAAATTCTAGAAGTAGTCTTCCATCCATTCTAATCATCAGATTTTGCCAGAGAACTTTCACTGATCATAGCAGAGATTCCTAGAGAACTTTCATGAAGTAAAACATACACTTCACTGATCATACTGGGAATTCATCTGTCTGCTCACTATAGGAATTGAGCTTTTATCTAACTCATATATTCTAACCATCTTTTACATATTAAAAAATAATGAATATCAAATTTTCCATGGCTATCTTCCGAACAAGGTGCACAAGTTATTAAACAGTCAAATATAAACATTGTACAAGATTCAACTCTCACCTTATCAGTTTGACATTTGGCACTTTGCTTTATCAACTTAATCAGTTGGACAAACATGAGTTACTCATTGTCTAAATTTTCATATCTAGTAAAATACTCAACTCTCAACTTCTAAAAAATTTGAAATTTGACACTTCTGAGGCTTCATCAACTTTATCAGTTGGTTATCCCCTTGGAAACAATATAATCTGCTTCAGCCAATTGCTTCATTGAAACCTCCTTGCATCTGTCTGGATTGTAGTTTCGTTTGGTTTTTTTCCTATGGCCACCACCCTTCTTATGTTTATTTTAATATGCTCTTGCCTCTCTGCATGACCCTCCCTATATATTGACAGGAATCTTTTTCGCTTGATTATTTTAGCTCAACCGAATTGATCCATCGCAAAACCATGTATCATTCTTCTCTTGGTCCCTGGCGCAAAATATACCCTCTAGATCATTGAGAAGCCATATCTGTCAGAATCATGTTCAAGATAATTTTATCCTTCCAAGCCAATAATGTGACACATGGTTACTTGTGATGTTACATATTGGGAATAGTATTCAAGTTTTACATCTACAAGGCAACCAAAAGAGATAATAAAAAAAATTGATAATATTTTGACCTACTGTGACAAGTAACAAACAGATTATCATTGTGTCCATTTCAAGTCATACGTCCATTCCAAATGCTTATATACCAATTCCACAATCATCAAACCCTAGATGAACTACTTATCTGGAAATTATTGAGTTATTTTTAAAATTTACACATGTCAAAAGATGCTTAGACACACTTTATAGCAAAAATCAAGGATAAATCCTCAATTATTAAAGTTGTAACTTGTTGAGGCAAGAATATAGTGAACATTTTTTGAATTTCTTTGTCTAGCTTAGCTAAAGAGCAGCACTTCAGCAAGATAACATTTCAGAATATATGTAGCTGCAGGTGATATCAGTTTCTATCAGGCACATAGTCATAATTTGCATTTCATTTATCAGTACTTATGAGTTAAAAGCAATTCAGGAACTTCTAGATTGAATGGTCTTTTGCATATACAAACTAAAATAGAAAGCAATGTTTGTTGCACCGCCTGAGTCGGTATGGTATGGGCGGTATGGACCAGTACGACTGGCAACCGAAACACGAATCGCCGAAGTCCCCGTCGACATGCCCCAATGTATCGTGTGTCAATACACTAGTACATTCCGGTATGTACTGACCTGACAAAACTCCAAGACGGGTCTGGTACCCAAAATGATGAACCCTGATATAAAGTATTTAAATTTCCACTCGTGACTTTATTACAACAGAATCAAATTAGACCAAATTCTCCTGATGTAGAGGCAATCAAAAGATTTGCATAAGTAATACTTAAACTCAAGAAATGTTGAATAACCTAAAAATGTTGCTTGCAAAATGGAAAAAGTCAATGGCTTTCTCCAAAAACAAGCAATTAGAAAATGTACCTTACCAAGTTGGGATCAGGAAGCTCTCTGACAGCTTCATCTACATTCTCAGCTGTAGCTTTAACCTGGGTAACAAGCCACAATATTAGATGCAAATGAAACAGTATATCATAAAATTTTACACTTTAACAGAGCAGTATAATAAATATTCAAAATTTCAGATGGTGGAAAAATAACATGCTTCCGACATGAACGAAATCTATTGGTATCTCCATCATGTATGAAATACAGTGACATTGTTCTGGTTGTTATTTGTATGAGATTCGTAGGAAGAATTAGTTTACTAATACTGTGCTAGTTAAAATTCTTTTCACACTAATTCTAGTCAGGTAATTCATTACGGTCTCCGTGTAACTTCATCCATGGACATTCTGTCATCTAGTTTTATAGTAATTTTCATATTTACAGATCCTAGAAAGAAATAGCGCATCTCCACATCTTGTCAAAAGAATATATTTGTCATAAAATGTTTTATGGTTTTATAGGATTTTGGCATTGTGATACTCCTGTCTCATTTTGTCAATTACAATAAATTGCTACATATTGGCTATGAAAACTCCTTATCTTTACTAGAAATATTTCTGTTAATAATTAGTATGATTAAAGTTCAACATTCAAACTAAAAAAACACTAGCAGGCATTTAAAAATTTAGATTGAATATGGACCACCAAATGATGAATGTAAAATTAATGAAAGAGCATCCACTATACTTTGATTAATTATTGTTTTTTAAGTAAACTTCTTTGACATAGATAGAACTATTTGTTCCATGTGTGGTTTTGAAAACCTTAATCAACCAATGTACTGATTATGGACTCACGATCAATGATTATCATGGTCCTCTGTGTTGCTTATATCTCATTATGATAACTGAGGAACAACCTGGCAGTGAGGTTCTCTTAAGTATTCAAATTCTCTCTAATATGTGTGAATTTTGCCATTGAAGCACATGCAAGAGAGGAAATTTTGTTCTACTATTTGATGTGGAGGACAAACTTAATAACTAAAGAAGTGACCTCTGAGAGGTTGTTGCATTGAAAATACATGCAAAACATGATTCCTTCAGCCCTTGCATAGATAGCATGAGTACAAAGGAAAAATAAAAATTTGGGAGTCTTACAGAAACACACTTCCTTCAGTCAAAATCATTGAAATATCCATGTCCTTGACCAATGTAATTAGGTTGAAAAACAAAGAGATCATGTAATTACCACTTTAGCACTATGTAACTCTGTCTTCTCTGAGAGGCGGTTTCTAAGGGGTTCAACATGATCACTGCCATCAAGTTGCACTCCAATGAAGTATTGAAGCTCACCCTATCAACATAGTGACCAATAATTTAATTTCTGAAATTTATGTTACAGTTACAGGATACACCGTCCAAAATAAACAACTTTTGTATGACCTTTTGATCACGCATTGGTTGCAAGTGGAATAAGTTCCAAAACTTCTTTCCTACATCAAGTCCAATATATGTAAGACAATATCAACAAACATAATCAAATGAGTTTAAAAATATACAGCAGAATTTATCATATCCAGTATATAGATTAAATATGAGCAGCCTAAGATGCAGTTTTCCAGTTCATCAATTTGGATCAGATGATCAATTAGAAAGGTTATTATATAGAAGCAAAATCACATAGCACTGCTACAAACTTACCACTCTTTGTATAATTAATTAATTGGACTGTGACTTCCCTTTGCTCTCTTATAGCCTCCCTTATCTTTGCAACAGTTCCTTGATCTGTATCAGGTCCTTGAAGGAATCTGTAATATGCATAAAAGATTGGTGCTGAAGATTTCGTGACAATACCAATATAACTGAAGTATTGAAAGAACTACTAAAATTCTAGTTAGTAAAATTCACAGCCAAAAAAATAGAAGACTAAAATGACCAAGATTAGTAGTTACAAAATTATATATGCTTTCTGTAAATAATATATGATGCTTCTTAGAAGTTACAAAATTTCTGTTTCATGTGATAGTTACAGAGATGGAGCTGTAGAATTTTAGGCTTTTATCTTAGTTCACAAATAGCAAACTTGTCCACTTTAATAGTCACTCATAATAGAAACGCTGTGGAGTTCTGGCAACTGCTGCTATGTTTTGGAATTGTTGAGAACCTCAGCTTCCATGATGCAACAACCAAGTGGCAAATTACCATTTCAGAAGCATCATTGATAATGTAAATTGAGCTCCCATCCTCCACCAACCAAAAGAAAAAACAATCTCTCTCCAAGGTAAGTAATCACAAACAAATATATAAATTAATCCAATTAATGATCATGTTAAGAAAAACTGCGGCAAAAAATAAGTCTTTGTTCAAACAAAAAACTGGTTAGTTGCTTATTCAATTTACAGATCATGTTCAAGAAATAAAATATTTTCTGGAATCTCTAAGGACAACATGAAATTTTACAGAATAAGTCATCTCCAATGAGGTGCCAATTTACTTCAGAGGAAGTTGATAACCTCCTATGGAATTTTGGGAAGAAAGAGAGACAAAAGAGAGGAAAGAGAAATAGATTAAGAAAATTAGGTAAAGAAAGCTTTACTGTTTACTTCAATGATGTGCCAATGGCCAGAACCAGAGACTTATATGAGTTGTGGAGAAAAGAGTTAATCACATCCCCCATAAAATCCTTTTTGAAAGATAACTCTACAACTCTCAAGATAAAAGTTTTATTGGAAAAATAAATAACCTAAGTTATACAATATTCAAATAGTGACTATAAGATACCAATTAGGCTAATAATAGGAATCTTATGACCCACTAAAATAGCCAAGGTTTCAAATAACAGTCAGAGTGACTTATATGGTTATACTAAGTTATAACTCATATTACCAGTCTGAACAAGGATCAATATCAGACCATATAGATCAGTATCAGTTCATCTTACATTGTTTTATTATTTTTTAAAACGATACCATGAAGTACAAACCAGTATATTACCTAGCATACCAATCTGATTGGTTATCGGAATGTGTATCAGACTCGGGTTTAAATTATTGAACTAGCTATTAAAATTGACTACAACTGTCAAAAAAAGCAAAATATAAAAGAATATTTTCGAGTAGGAATGGGGATGATGTAGAATCTTCACTATTTCCACCAATTTGCCTTAGGATTGTTATATATGATAAAAACTAAAAATCTCAACTCAAATGAGTATCATTCCAGTCCTGAACCATGCTAGAGTTATTCCCAAGTTGTGTTTCCTTGGTGATATGATATAGGGAGACTTTACATTAACTGGTTGAATCCTAATCTTAGCTGTATCACACATCAATTAATTTGTCCAAGGTGACAAGACATGCTAGTAACGTTTAAGCCCCTAAAGTTCAGCCCGATACCTTAGAAAAATCTATTGCCCTAGACATGAGATATTCTCAGTATGTCCTGACCATGCCTTTATTTGGCTTGGTCCAAATACAACTTAACTCTATTGATGTATGCACAGGATCAGTGGAGGTCAATCCTAGTTTTAAATTGAATAATCAATTAAATTCCACATAGGATTAAAGATGAAGATCAATTCATCACCCATAAGTGAAACTGTGTTGCTCAAAGCACTTGTTGGCAGTTGTTGACAAGAGATATTGGAAGCACATCCAGTACCTCCGATATCATTTGACCATGGTTATTTGAGATCAAAATAGATACCAAAGACCCCAACCTGATCTGCTACAGGTCAATCTATGGACACATGGGATCTAGAATCTTACAAATTTATCCATTATCTTGTACTTTCATTAGAAATTGTAATCAATTGACTGTTATATATATTGCAATCTAAATAAAGAAAAGCATATCATATGTCATTTATAAGCTAAACCTTTTACTTTGAGCCAATAGTTTAGGGATTTTACTCACAAGGAGCGGTGATGCCCCTACTAATTATGCTACCCAATGGGGATAGATATAGACATTCTATTTTACATGTTTGACGCTAAAGAATCAACTTCCAAGGAACTGATGCATGAAAGTTTGATAACGAAGAGGTTGACATTGAAAAATCTCTTCTGAGAAACCAGCATGTCAATTGATCAAGAAAACCATTTTTCTCCATGATAGACAGCCAACTTTATTTCTAGTTTGGTTCGCATTAATAAGCAGCTTATCAGTTAATCATAGTATTGTGATGCAACAGTGAGCAAATATGAGTTCAATACACTCCTAGTAAAAGAAAGAAAAGGATATGACATGTAACTCTCAGTCATCAGAAAAGAATTTGTGAGAAGCACCTTTTAACAAGTGCACTGCTAATATCATAATCTTTCATATAATTTGATCAAATCAGCATGATTAGAACAGAATTTTATAAAAATATGGAAGTACATGTTGAAAAGGTAATTGCTTAATAGCTGCTAGTTATGAGATGAGGGAATTGTCTTTACATACCGACAATTTCTTCCTAAAATTTCTTCCCGTGTATACTCTGTCAATTCAAGGAAACTGTCAGATGCAAATATCTGCATAAGAAATAACCACATAAAATTAGTCTCCTGAGTTTATGTGTGGGAAACAAAAAGGATATTCCAACAGTTTACCATTTATCAAACATAATATATGTGAAGCTCATGATTATTATAAAAGGAAAAGTCCAATTCTTCGTGGTGCCAAAACAATGAATGAAACTAACTTGATTAAAAAAAATTCTTTTCATATTTAAAACCTAATATATCTATCATCACCTGTTCTAGAAGCAGCAATAAGTATTTTCATAGATATAAGGCTTACCTAAGTGTAAAAAAGTTAAAAATTCAAGTTTGGAAGAAAAACTCCAAAACATGTGGACAAAATTCAAGTTACTTGTACCTTAAAACATGAGCTAGTGGAGACACCTGAATCTTTAAACATATTTACATATGTGCATTTGTATATACATGCAATTATATACCCTCCTCTAGATACGTATATGCAATTATTGAATGCTTGATCATGTTGGATTCATTTTCACGTTGTCTTGTAATAGAATAATGTAAATAATCTTTCAGTTAATTGATCTTACTATTGGATTATCTGGAAGTCTGGGATCTGTTATCACAAAATTCTTTTCTATACGCTCCAATGTTGTAGCTAAATCAATTCCTTGTCGTATATCTGTTTCTCTCTCCACATGGTCCCAACTTTCAGTGCGTTGGACATCTTTGGTCATTAGAATCTCTGGCTCAATATCAGGTTCATATCTTTCTATGGAACTCTGTTTCCTTGCCATAAATCTGCAAATTACTGGAAGACTTTTAGTATAGCAGCACAAATTGTTGCTTGTGTATCTGGAAAATTTTCAACATATAAGCTACATTATTGAAGGAAATTATTCGGATACATGTATTAAACTGTAAAGAAAATAGAAGAAAATATTAGAACAATAATAAAAAGTATCCCTATAAATAAGAAAAACCAATTGAATGGAAAATTTGCTATTTGTTCACACTCATTAGTCTGTAAGGGCATTAATGCAGACTTCATTTGTGCTAGTATCTGCATTCAGAGGAGGAGATTAGTAGCAAAGTTTGAAATCCACAATTAATAACATATGTTTGGTTTTGACAGGTCGGATTTCAACAAATCCATCATCATGATGGTTTTGCAGTTAAAAAAATTGACTGGTGCAATTAGTTGCAGTGACAATGGCATTGGCACATGTCAGGGTGTTGAAACATTGATTATCTCTGTAGTCCATACTCCATACAATTGTTGTTTGAGAAGTTCCAGAATACTTCAATTGCTTTTTTTCCATTCTTGCCAAAAGAATATACCCAAAATCCTAACCTGGATTGATATTGAATGTACAGCTAGAAGATGGAAGTAAGTGCATGTGAAATTGATCAAAGAGATCAGTTGTTATTCCTTGGAAACTAATCAAGTTGTTGTGAAGTTACAAGTTATCTTATGTGCACTAGGAATTTCAAAGAAACCACCATTTCTAAAGGCTATTTGCACAACTGATTATGGAAAGGATACGAAGTGAAGTATCAACGGAAGATTTGATATTCATTAGTAGCAGTTGGGAGCTGCATGCAGGAGAATCCCCCATGCATCAACCGGAGACAAATGATATTTTCATGGCTATGGTAAACAATGACAACTGAAAAAGATATTCCTACATGGATATATATTTGGTTTATAGATTAACGATTTTACCAAGTAATACAAAAACTATTCATGGGAAATATCAATGAATAATTTGTTTTCCCTGTGATCAGTAAATTAATTCATAATGGACAATATTGGTCTCTTGTTACGATGTAATTTTTCTAGCAATAACTAGCATATACTTTCAAGTTACGTAGCCAACAAGACATTATAGGAAGTAGGAACTTAGGAAGACTGGAATTTTTTGGTACAAAGTCAAGGATGTATGGTCTAGGTATAATTTGTCATCAATTATTTACTTAATAGTTCAAATTTCAAAGGGCTCTTACCCCACTATATTAGGAAAATATAATAGTATGATAAGTGCAAGACTCTAAGTGACCAAACTTAGTGTGAAAAAAAAAATGGCACTTTAACTATAAGTACAGGACTTGAATTTTAAAATCTTCAAATTTTCTATGAGCAGCATGAGACAATCATTTGTGAAAAACTACCTCCCTTTAATTTCAAATGAGAATCCAAAACACAATTATTTTTGCATGTCCTGAAATGATCTTTTTCTCAACTTTTTGTCAAATTAAACATCTCTCCTGTAAAGAACTTGTCCACACACTTGGTCAACACCTGGTCAAACTTACTCCCAACATTAACATTTACTTTCCAACATATTTTGTGCCTAAAGAAGTGGGAAATCAATATCCACTAACTTCTCTCTACATGTTTCAAATATGATTGGATGTTGAATAACATGCTATACATACTTAAAACTTTAAAGAAACAAGTTTGGTAAAATGTTGGGTTCTTGGGCTTCTAATGATCACCTGACATGCACTGACGGCATCTTGTACTAATGATGATACTTGTTAATTATTGAGCAATTTTGTATTAAAATCTATATCAGGTCAGTAAATGATATCACTTACCCAGTTGAGGAAGAACGACCAGGTTTCCAACTGCTCATTCTTGATGACTCGCGTTTAGCATCTAATGAAATAGTCATTCTACCTGGTGACTTAAAATGTTTAATCTCTGAAGAATCTTGAAGGGAAGAGTCAATTTGGATTGTCTCATGGGCGTCAAACTTGATAGCAATATCATGATCTACAGCTTGTGAGTGAGAGCGAGGATGCTTCACAGTCTGGACAACCTCCTCAATAGAAGACAAGGCCTTCTCCTTTTGTCGTGCTGATGTGGAAAGACAAATAAGTTGGTCCCTCTTGAGCAGTAATCAATATGCTAATAAATAGAATGCTTTTGAAGTATTCTAACCATCATAACGAATCAAAGACATTGGCAAGGCATTTGGGCGCATGGTTTTGTCATTTAGACCTTCTGTATATTTGCTGACCTCAACCTGCATCCTGAATTTAAGAGTGCCAGAAGTGTCAAAAACTCTGAAAGAAAATCAAACGAAATATTTAAAAGATATTTGGTATAGTAAGAATAGAAAACTGAAAAACCAAATGCAAGATGGGTATCGGAGTTCATATGTATCCAATAAGTAGATAATAAAACATGTCTAAAACTTCTTAGACCATTTTAACAAAACAATACACCACACACAATATTAACTTTATTATGAAAAAAAATTATAAAGTAGGTAAGTATCATAGCTTTTGCTATGATATGGAAGAAATTAGCAAGCATCTACAAGCATGCAGATTTAGAAAGAAAAGATGCTGGCAGAAATGATACAAAATAAGTTTCTGTAAGCTAATGATGGTGATAAGTTGGAAGGGATGAAAGAAGCTCTACATGTAATTCCATTCTTATAGTTAGCATTTGGCAGTTAGATGTGATGGGAACAAACCTTAACAGAAGTTTCTCTATTAGTTACATCCAAGGTCTATCGTACCGAAGTGTACCGCCCATACCAGGCGATATGTACCGGTCCGACAGGTTACCGATACGCGGACCGCCCGGTATACTGTAGCACTGCTATTGTGCTACAGTACTATACTGTAACACTGCTACAATATGAAAAAATAAAAATTATTCGGTACACCAGGGTGTACCGCTCGGTACGCCCTAATGTACCATCCGGTACACCGGTATCGTACCATACCGAGCCTGGGTCGAAATGCCGGTACGGTATGGTACAGCGAACCTTGGTTACATCATCTTGAAACCCTGATGTTATATCTTCTTTAGTGGTATTCCTGACTGAAAGAATTACTAAAATGGTAATAAAAGACCCAAATTCATTTTGACAAATCAGCCTTATCATATCCTTCTCAACTAAATTCAATTCAACATAAATAAAACTATCTTAAGTTTGAGAGACTTTGTCTATAGATCTGGAGTTGGCCTGTGGTCATTTTTCACTTTTATTCACTAAATATTTCAGACAAACATTAGAAAATTGCCCTAAAGTTAACATTAAGAAGCTACTAACAAAGCATATGATGCCATATACTACAAGCCTCGGTCTTAATTTTATTGATCATTTTAATTAGTGAGAACATTAATATGGATTTAAATTCGCATCACTTAAATCATTGGAGAACTTAAATTAGACTAGAGTGATACTGACTTCCTTTTTGAGACTTGCTCTAGTTAAATCCAGACTTTCTTTCCTGGAAGAAATCCCAGAAAAAGTTATTCTCAAAAGGGTTGAAAAGTCTAAACACTTATAAAATGTCTGGACTCTATATTTATTAATTATATAATTTTAACTTCATGATATCAACTTATCCAATTTAACAATAACTAATAAGCAACGTCTTCCTCTCTGAAGCATAGTTTTGTGGTTCATTTTAGCCCTCAAATTTCTGATATAAAACTGCAAACAATAGGGCTTGTCCTTTTAGACAATCATAAAGTTCTTTGAATAATTATCACCAAAAAATTAAGTTATTTTGGTTGACACAGTTTACCCTCTGAATCCAATTTACGATATCAACATAACAAGCTTTTTAAAATATCTAATAAGAACTATTTCTTGTATAAACCCAATATGTTACTATAGCAAAGCTGGTTCTAAACTATTAGTTTGACCTGAGAGGACATGTGGGCAAATCTTCTTCGACAGGCCCCACCTTGGGCTCAAAAAAATGCAGAAAGATGAGAGAAACACATGAGACAACACCATTCAGACATATTTGAACTATAGAAAATAATGTTGATCTTTAATCCACTGCAACTATCAGAAATTGGCTTTTTAGTATTCCATTCTCGAGTCTTCCAATGTTGCAATAAGTTATGCAATTGTTATCTCCAAAGAAACTCATGTAAAGCAAGATCCAATATAGATACTGAGCAGGTATAAATAGAGAGTTCTGAATTACAATTTGCCAAGAAAAGATTGAAAGCTAGGAAGATAAAGATTGCATTAGGTAGAAGGAAAAGACTCACCCTATGTATTTGACAATATTCCCATTCACATCCCTTATGGGTGTTATGGTTAGAAGGTTCCAAAATTTCGTACCATCCTTCTTGTAGTTTAAGAGCCTTCCACAGTAAGATTTTCCAGTCCTGACAGCTTCTCTTATCTTTGCAATTTCCAGTTTATCAGTATCTGGGCCTTGAAGAAAACGACTGCAGCAAAGAGAAGAGAGTGTTGACGATTATTATGTAAATGTTATACATATCATTCATCAAAGCATATGAATTTTTTTTTCTATCATTTACTCCATGTCTCCTTGGAATAATTAAGGTTATATAGCCTGCAATCCTTTCTGAGCTGCAATTGAGCTTCATTTCAGATTGAACGCTTAAATGAAGGAGAAAATACAGGACGCAGAACACACCAGTTTCTTCCAATAATTTCCTTTGCCGAATATCCTGTCATGCTGAAAAAACCAGTACTAGCATACACTATAGGGCAATCAGGCCTTGTTGCATCTGAGACAACAAAAGTCTGCTGAAGAGTAGAGAGTGCATCCTTCAGTTCTTGAGAAACCCGAGGGATTGCTGATTCCAGAGAATAACTTGACTCAATCGAAGTCCTTGCTGAGTCTGAAACTATTTCTGTCGATATTTTATTTCGATCCCAAGAAGATCTTTGACTCTCACTTTTCTTATTAGACTTCCCACCATCCAAGTTATCTATAATTCCCTGCTCTCCTAGCTTCTGGTTCAGCAACTGTGTGCTCTTAATCTTACTTGTCTCCTCTAGTATTTCAGTGGAGGCTGGAGGCATTTTAGAACCCACGGTTGGAAATGCCATCCACTTTTCAGTCGGTTCAGTGTCAGTTAGCATCCCTGATGCACCTTCAGATTTGCATGAACTTGGTATCATTTTCACACTAATTTGTGATCACCAAAACTAAATCCAAATGCTTCTCACTTGACCATGCCTGCTTTATAGACTCGGAGTTCTCATGCCCCAGATTCAGGTCCCGTGAAACAATTTGACCTGTAGATAGAAGTCCAAAAGGTACATTAGGAAAAGAGAAAAATATCATCATGGCAACAAGTTATTGAGATAGTCAAATGTGGATATTGACAACTATCACGTAAGTACTATGAATTACAATCGTCAGTAGACAGCTAGATTTGATCAGCTCATCCGCAAACACAAAGGACTGCTACTAAGCAACACATGAAATCAAAGAAATCACATGATCAGAAAATAGAAATGTTCTCTTTTTCTCCTAAGATAAAGTTGACCATGTGAACCAGTGGCAAGCAGACGCACTTAGCAATAGCGGAAGACATCAAAGGAAGTCTTAAGTATCATAAATGTGATTCCTTGAGGCAGAGGCCAAATGGGGAAATTCTTTTTTAAACCTAGACTTGACAAACAAGTGACACAAAAGACTGTGGCTATTGCAACCAAAATTTCCAAACTCGAACTGACAAAATTTCAAGAGAAAAAAGAAGCTCCTTTTGATCATATCAAACAAATATTTCAGAGACAAAAGAGTACAAAGATAAAAGAACTCAAATACCATATTTCTTTCTTTCTATCAAGAAACATTCCTGGTTTCTGAGATATAAAAGGAAAAACAGTTAAAATGAAGTCCCGGAACGACCTTCAGGAACTTTGTTGTGGTAGTAGCAGGATGTGGCCAAAGGTGCCGGGTATGCTGGATTACCACGAACAGTCTGCTGCTCTGTTCGGGCCTGGCAGATGGGGAGATAAGAAAAGAAGGGGGAAAAAAAAGAAGAGACGAGGAAGCGCGAGCCAAGGAAGAAAAGGAAATGAAGACGTAGACGAAAGGAAATCGAGGCATAAAAAAAAGAAAACCAGACAAGACACCACCGCACAAAAATCCAAAAATCTTCTCTGCCTCCTCCTCCTCCTGCTGCTGCTGTTGCTGCGGTCAGCTGGAACGGACGGTTCGTAGACGTCTATTTGGAGCATTTCTATCCGAAAATTTCTGGGGTCGTGATTGCCCGAGCGAGGAGACGCGTCATCCTTATATTTCTGAGGCTGCAAACTTTCGGGATTTGCTTTTTTGTGTGTCTTTTATTTTCTTTCACCCATCACTCGAGAGTCTTGTCTCGTGTTTCTTCCACGCCTTCTCAGACACAAGAGGACAGAGGCTTGGCTTGAAGTACCGGTAAAAACGGCCGCACCAGTTGCGGAGAATCTAAGCAGCTCTTGTACAGAACATCTCATCGGCACCCGAGAAGACAACCAATCCAGTGTTTGACTACAGTTTTTTGTCTTTTGATCTAAAAAGAAGATAATGATACTAATTACTCTGGTAATAGATGCACAGATTAGTAAATTAGAGAAGACTCACCCGGCAAAGATCTTCCTAAGATTACTGACATGGGCTGCAAATAGAACTGTCACTTCTTTAACTATTCTTCTGGCATGAGTTCTAAGGCTAATTACGTCAAAAAGCTTGTCGGCATCCCAGAAAAAGGAACAAAAAATGCTCCAAATGCTGACTACTGCATGCAGACTCGAAACAAATAGATAAATGAAAAGGAAACAGAAAAAAAATTAGTGAAAAAAGATGATATTTCCATTTCAACCAAACTAATTGTTACGAGGATGTGTGATGTTTGCAGGTCTCCTACCATCGATTCCCTATCCTTTGGGATATCATGTGTTTGGATTCTTGCGAGGAGATGTCTCCCTTGGGAAAGTCTCTGCAAGCATCGCAGTAATCTCCCTAATCATTCCCCAGTGAAAACTGACAAGTCACCTGCAGGTCTGATCAACTATTTTATCCAGACAGTGGTTTACTCTCTCTTACCTTTTCGGACTCTCTTTTCATGTTGTGTTGGAAATTTAGATTTTTGTGCTCCCAAAAGAAAGGATGACAGTGGATCACATTGCATTGGCTACTTCGAGTTCATGGATGTCTAATGCGATGCAACCACTGGATACCAAATTGTGGCCAGACAACAATGCTGGAAGCGTGGATGCGTGTCGACAGCGCTGCAGTGTGCCATTGTCATCGATACCAATGGGGACATATCATGCAAACGTACCACAAATAACGAAGCAAATTGGATTGACATTTCTTCTCTTCTCATCATTGATGCTTGTGCTGACCCACCCGGAAAATTACGCTCTTTAACGTTGATACATCAAACATTTATGTCACTTTCTCTAGCGAGCCCAAATCAAATACCGCATACTGTCCTCTTCGGTCGTACAAAATTTAGTCCCCACATGCAGCAGATGGAGTGCGGATCCAATACCACCAAACATAAAAGAAAGAAGTGCATTGCGACAGCGTTTCGTTGGAATACTGTTCGTGTATTGTCCGTTTTTGAGGTAGGATAGAATTCGAGTGAGCGGGTGAGGATGTCCACGAATTCTGCAATCGAGAATGGACGTCAGGTGAAGACGACCTCATGACAGAGAAGTAATATTCGCCTGTCACAGGAGGAGAGGCCATTGGAGTAGAACAGTCTTGATCAAGATTAATGAAACATGGGCGACGCACTCGCCAAGCGGCTATCCTTTGAGCCACAACCACAGGACGTGATTCCGCATCCTTTCTCCGTCCTTTGCTGTGGCATCTGCTGTTGTTGGCTTTCTGCAAAACTTTAGGGAGAAAAAATAATAATAATAAAAGGCATGAGGAATATTTTTATTTATAATATTTTAGAGTATTCAAAATATGTATTTATATTAGTTATAAATTATTAAAATAAAAAAATCAATCATAACCCAATAAATCTCATCATCCCTATTTGTTTATCTGAATCTAAATTCTTATATCTAATCCTAACTATTTGAATTAATTTGATCGCACCACTTAATTTAAAATAGTTATAACTTAAAGTTATTTTTGAAAAAAAAATAAAATTTTTCTTTTGCTATGGCTTTTGTAAAGATATCGATAAGTTGATCCTTGAGACTGCAATCGTCTATTTGAATTTTATCTTTATAAATTAGTTCATGATTGAAACGATAGAAAACTTTAATATATTTGGTGCATAATGAAAGATAGGATTCTTTATTATTGTAATAGTAAACTTATTGTCTTAGTATATTTTAGTTTATTCATCTTATCTTTTCTTGGAGATATGTTAGAATTCTTCAAAGTCAAATTGTTTGATATATCATATTTGTAACTGCAATATACTTTGACTAGAAGTTTTAGAGAGTAACATATTTTTATTTTTTTATTATCCATAAAGTTAGTTGAGCATAAATCATGAAGTGTTTTTTCTATCATCCATATAACTAGTCCAATCGCGATATAAAAATATGACTTAAAATATTTTATCTTCTCATAACGAATATCATAATTTAGGATTCCCTTAATATATTTAAGAACTCATTTAGTTACTCCAAAATGATATTTACTATGGCTATGCATAAATTTAGATAACAAACTAATTACAAACATAATATCTGGCCTTCAATGTGTGAAATAAATAAACTCTTCAATTAAACTTCTATATTATTTTTTATTCATTTTTTTAGCTCTACAATCTAACATAAGTTTATCATTTATATTCATTTAAGTATTCACTAGCTTACAAGTTGTCATATGAAATTACTTTAAACAAATCTTTAGTATTTTTTTGGCATAAAAAATTTTATTTGTATCTTAAATAATTTTCATTCTCAAAATAATATAAAAGCCCTAGATCAATCATTTCAAATTCAAACATTATTTCTTTTTAAATTTAATAAGTATATCTGATAAATTTTTAGTATAACTCATATCATGTACATAAATAGATAACAAAACTTTATCTCTTAGGCTTTTATATATAAAGTTGGTTTACTTAGATTTTTTTAAAAAATTATATTGAAGAAAGTACTTATCAATTCTGTTGCACCATGTTTTCGTTGCTTGTTTCTAACTATATAATGTCTTATCCAATTTGTACACTTTATCTTTTAGCCCTTTAATTTCAAATCTTTCAAGTTGCTTTACATAAATCTCTTCTTACAACTTTCTATATAAGAAGGCTAATTTCATCAAATTGATAAATCTATCATTTTTCCTGAACTTTCAATGCTAATATCATTTTAATTGTATTGATTTTAGCAATTGAAGAAAAAGTTTTTAAAAAATTGATATATAATATTTGAGCATACCCTTTGGTAACTAAACAAGCCCTATATTTTTGCAGCAAGTCATCGGCATTAAATTTTAACTTATTCACCCACTTGAATCCAATTGCTTCTTTTCCTTAGAGACAAATCTATCAACTTTTAAGTTTTATTTTTTAAAATAACTTATAGTTTATCATTCGTTACTTACGCGCAAGCTGCAACTTCAAAACAAGTAGGTCCTAAAGCAAAATATACAAAATCACCATATTGGTATATCTATAATATAACTAGAAATATGAAAAGATTTGGATGAGCTATTAATAATAGACAGTAATATCATATGTCTTATCGACTTTTTCTCCTACGACTATTAAAATTTTAATTGTTTTGGAGTTTCAAACGTCTTCACCGAAACTAATATCACGACTAACAATCAATATTTTTAGTAAACTAATATCACGACTAACAATCAATATTTTTAGTAAACTAATATCACGACTAACCATCAATATTTTTATTTGTTGGATTATTAAGCCTAAATTCTTTTGTCTCGTTACTATACCCCATAAATATGCATTCAATACTTTTGTCATCAAGCTTGTTTCTATTTTTTTTTATAGAAATATTATAGTAAGTAATAAAAATAAATACCTTTAAATGACCTACATCTAGCTTTCTGTTCAACCATGTCTTTGGTAGTAAAGTGATTTAACAAATGTACTATTATACTTTTAAATTCTACCTAAAATTCATTTAGTATTATTTTTTCTTTAAGCATACTCTCGACCACAACTTAGTTCTTTTACTCTACTACTCTATTTTACTGGGGATGTAGCTTATAATTAGTTACTTGTAAATATCTATATTTTTTATAAAATATAAAAAAATCTTTGAAAGTGGATTCATCCCCTTTATTAGTACGCAGAGTTTAATAAAACAACCGTTTTATTTTTCTACATATACTTTGAAACTTTTGAAAATAGAAAATTCTTTTTGTTTTTTCTTTTAAAAAATATAACTATATCATCCTTATGCAATTATCTATAAATAAAAAAATATTTACTTACAATCTATATAGGTCCACAAATATCTACATGCATAAGTTTTAATCATTTTTTTGCTCTCCAATGATTTGTCTGTGAGAAATTTCTGTATTAGTTTTTTAAAATACATAATTCATAAATAGTATTTTTATTCTTAATTTTAGGCAAACCAACTATCATATTCTTTTGATTCGAAAGGTCTAGTCCATCATAATTCAAATAACTATATCTTTTATATCATAATGTAGATTCATCGATAATAGCAACAGTAAATGCATGTAAGGGAAAAAGTAAATAATTTATTTTTTTTATGATCCTCATAGTTGCTATCAATTTTTAAAATTTGATTATAAATTAAATATTTTTCATCATAAAAATAACATAATATCCTTTTCTCTTTTCATTTCACCTGAATTTTACTATTATTTTCTATCTACACAGTAGATCTGACCCATCAAGTCTTTAAAACAAACTTTTGTCTCTTGTCATATAAGTATTTTCTATCTATCCAAAAGTCAAACAGTTCTATAATATTATTTTTTATAAAAAAATATTTTTTTATCATTTTTTAACTATTATATTTTCATAATAATTTGTTTGATTTTTATTCTAATATGTTTTTCAAGATGACCATATTTTTTTATTATGAGAGCAGGAAGGAATATTTAGATTTTTACTTTTATACCAATAATATTTTTTACTATCTCTAATTTTTTTGCAATAAAAATATTGATAGATTTCTTTATTACCTTTGAGTTTCTCTTACTTTCATTTGATCGGTCTTGTCATTGTCTAAGTGCTAGATAGTCCATGACTTCTATCATTTTGACCTTTTCCTTGAGACCTGATTTTTAGATTTTTCTTTTGGATCTTTTTTTGATGTATTTTCATTTGAACAACATGTTTTGAAATTTCATTTAGGGATTTGTTCACTTTTATTAATGAATTTAAAATAAGCTTATTAATTCACATATGTAGCTTAGTAGAAATCATATCAAGTTTTAGATATAAACTTTGTCGAACATTTTCTACTACTATTTAATCTTTTAGGTTTTCACTATAAAACCTTATTTGGTTTGCAATATAATAGATTTTTGAGAAAAAAAAAATAATAATATATTCCAAAATTTTCATCAAAGAATTTCGAATTTACATAAAAAAAATTTAAAGTTTTTACTTTGTCTATACCTCCAGACATATTTTTTTAATATTTTTTAAGCTTTTGTTAATGTTGAAACTAATATGATTCGAGAAAATATAGATTATATCTATTGCTTATAAGAGAGTTATCACATCTTTCTATATATCTTCATTTATTTGATCTTAGATAATATTGAGATCCTGTAAATCATACTCAACAAAATTATTTTCTATGGTCTAAAACCAATAATTTTTACTTTTCAAGATATGAAGAATTTAGTTAGAAATACTTGCCATAATGTCTAATATCTTCTTTTTTTCACATTTTTTGCTCGATTTGTCTCCTTTCTTTTCTTAATCAAAGTACTCACACTAGTTTTCTTCGAATCCGACATCATGCTTGTTGACTTATTATAAAATTTTAAAAAGAAAAAAGAGAAGATAATAAGTACTTCGATAGATTAAACCAAAAACACATATTTATATTAATCAAAAGGATAATATATAAGTTTTTTAAATAAAAAATTAATCATAGTTCAATAAATCTTCTAATCCTCATATACTTATTTTAATCTAAATTCTTATCTTTTTGTTACATCTATCTAATCAATTGTTTGAATTTAATTTTATCACCTGCTTCCCGAGCGAAAAAAATGAGACAGTCGCCGTTGCCCACATATAACCAGTCCATGATCAAGACGTCGAAAGTTAGGAGATGAGAGGAGGTCAGTAAGCGGAAACGAGTACGTATACTCCCAAGAACAAACACATGATAGGTGCCAAAAAAAGTTAGGACTATCGATCTCCAACTCTGACTCTCGATGTTCCCGTGGCTCATAAGTCTCTGATTGATGATTTCTTATTCATTTATGCATATGAATCAAAGGTATAGACAATTGTCTACAGCATCATGATCCTGAACTCATCGAAGCTGATGACACCATCGTCGTTGGTATCAAACCGCCGGATCATGTTCCGGCACTCCTCCATGCTCTTCGACTCCCCCAGCCGCTCAAGTGCACTACGGAGGCTTTTTGGCGTGATGCATCCTTCTCCCTCCATCTCGTACATCCGGAAGGCCTCCCTCATGTTCTGCTCCTTCTCGTTCTCCCCCTCCCCGTCCACCAGCCTCACGATGTCGTCGAACCCCAGCAAGCCATCGCCGTCACTGTCGATGGACTCCACCACCGCCACTGCGTCCTCGTGAGACAACTCCTCGCCCATGGCCCGCATGCAGCTCTGGAGCTCCGTCGCGGAGATCTTTCCATCACAGTCCTCGTCGAAGAAGCAGAAAACTCTATGCAGCTCTATACCAGTCGACCGCCATGTCGACGCCTCGGGCTTCGCATGATCCTTGGGTGGCATTACGGTGCTGCCGAACCAAGTTCTCGGTGCTGAGAAGGCGGCTGAGTGCTCATTCTTCTTCGGCACCTGTACAAAGGAAGAGCTCATCGTCGAGGTTACTGCCTCAGATGAAGATGGACGCCCCATCGAGAGTTTTCTGAGAAAGGATTGCGATTTATATCGAAACAGTTAGATAGTTCTGCTGGTGAATGATTGGTGACAGCTCGCAACCGAGACAGAAGAAGCTGCCATCCAGGGGAAACTGCAGGTGGGAGTTTAATCTCCCAGACGCAGCCCTACACATCTATAGTGCTAAAAGTCAGAAAACAGGGGCTGAAGACTATATGGTGTATACAGGAACATACAACAAGTTGGCGCCGGGAGATCTGGCGATGATGTTTCGTGAGCATCTGCATTCCATGACAAAGTACTTGACGAATTTGCTACCTGAAGAAGTGATGTTCCGGGAAATTTCATCGGCCAGACTAGATCGCCATATTCTTCACGGCAGTTGATTCAACGCCCGCAAATTCTTCCAAAACCTCCAGATTCTCCATTGACTTTTTATCTCAGTTTTCACTATTATCCAAAGGATAGTTGGTATTCTTCCCTCGATCAATTGCTTGATCACAAAAATCGGCCCCATATTCTTGCTGTTTTGGTTGAATTCTTCCTGGGCTTACCATTCATATTCTTCTTTTCTAGCATTCAAGATAAACATTACAAGAGAATTTCCAACCAACGCATATGTGAAAGGAGAAGACTGGCGATTGATTTCCTTTATCTTTATCTTATAATTTCCCTCCCTTACATATATGAGTTGATTTTTATGGTAATTCATGCGTAATAGATCAAGTCGTGCAGGCTTATTCTGTGAGTCACGGAGACGTAAAAAGAGAAACTTCCATGTAAATGCTGCTGACGACATAGGACAACAAGATATCCATGAGAGTTCTTAAACGTCATCGACCGTCCTCCTTCATTGTACTGTCAAGGACAATTCCATGGCTGGCGGCACTTGGCGACCCAAAAACCATCATATGTCTTCATCGAGGCAAGTAGGTAGGTCAATTCCCATGCAGTGTGTACGAAGTCTCAAATGAAAAATGTAATTAATTCAGAGGTGTCAGAAATCATGAATTATAGGATGCCATTTGCACGAATTTTCTATCTGACACGCGCGTAAGGCAAGCGATTGGATAAAAAAATTGCAGGCATTTTGTAGAGACTGCTGTTGGATTAATTAATTAATGGGTTCTGTGAAAGGGATGAGCGCACCTATCCGTGGATAACCTTTTTCGATCACGAAATATTATAATCGAATTGGTGAATTTAATATTGAACTTCTTAATCAATCTAATTATAAGATTTAAAAAACTTGTTTGGAGTATTATCTCATTGGGAAAGATCTTTTAGATGAAGTTGGTAGTAATACAACAACTACATGGAGACATCAGGAAGAGATAGAAAATTTTAAATGTAAAGACTGAATTTGTATTAAAGAGATTTATTTCTCACAATCTCTCTGAATACATTATTCGTTGTAAATTAACTTAAGAGATTTGGATTGGTTAACAAAAAGATATTATGCCTCGACTTTAATATTTGGATAATGATTTAACAAATACTATCCAAGTGATCTCTTAATTTTTTAATATTTTTTTAAAATTAAAAATTTATGTGTAGAGATATCCAAATGAGCAATTAGTATAACTTGAAATATATTCTTTTTGAATACTATGAATAATATTATATTTCATTCGTGCATAAATATTTAATTTTCAAAAAATATTGAGAAATTAAGAGATCATTTTAAATAGTATTTACTAAATCATTCTCCAAATATTTAAGTTGAGTCATATTCTTTTTTTGTTGAGTATGCAATCCAAATCTTTGAAGCTGATTTGTAACGAATATGTATTTAAAGATATAGTCAGAAATATATCTTTTTAATAAAGTCCTTTATCGATATCTTTGTTTGATCATCTGGTAGTGCTGTTATTGTACCAATCATGTCCTATAGATCTTTCCGAGATAAAACTCTAAACAAGTATTTCAGATATTATAATTAGACTGGTTGAGAAGTTCAATATCAAAACTAACAACTTGATTATAATATTTTATAGTCTAAAAAAATTATTTTCTTTACGAAGGAGATCTTAAAATATATATTATCATACTTGTGGCTTTAATACTATACGAAGAATGGAAGAAATTATATACAAGTACAATCCTTTCTCAAATAGTAATAACAAAGTACTACTAGCCCCAAATCAAATCAAATAGAAGAAAAAGAAATAAAAGGAAAAAAAAACCATATTAAACTTCTGAAAAAGAAAAACACTGATATTGAACGACTCCTCTACACATATAGATGTCACTTATTTATAATATAAAATATATTAATCCCTAATCTCTATAGCTTTATTTAATATTATTTTAAAAAAATAAGATATCAATTTAAGATCTTTCATAATATATTTTAATATTTTAAATTAAAATTTTTTATCCCTACAACTCTATCTAATTTTATTTTAAAAATTAAAATATTAATTTATGATAAATAAACACCTCTAACATCTTTCTGCAAATTCCCACGGAACTACGCGTGTGTTCTTCCTAAAAGATGTTCACTTTATCCTCGCTCGGATAACTTTGCGTCAGATTGAGTGACGGAAGGAAGAGCATTTTTCCGACGAAGCTGGCATGGGATGGTAGCAACGGAAATTAAGAACATGTAGGACAGAGTAATAAATACTTATTCTACGGACAAAAGATGTTGAGTTTGCAGAACACCAGAAATAAATGACGCAATCATCCGCAAACTCGAGGAAGACAACCTAAGATCGAGGGCGGAAGAATCATTCAACATCCAACCGAAAACCATCTCCTGTAGAGCCGGGTTTGCCGCCTCCTCTCGTTCTGGCGCATGGCGCTCGCCGCCGTCTTCTCAGCAGCGCCCGCGGCCTTCTTCAATTCCTTCACCTTCAGGTCATATGCATCGGATGTGGAAACAGGCATCGAGGTTAATTACCTAAGAAAAGAAATAATGTCGCGGGCAACCGATGACGGCAACTGACCTTTGTCTTCCGTGGCTTCTGGCTTTGCAGCTCGCGAGCACCGCTCTTGAACAACTCGCCCGTCCTCCAGGATCGTTCGACTACCGTGCTGGAGCAGATGCCGGTGTCCTTGTTCTTCTCCTCTGTGACTGCAGTTGTATGGATGCAGCTGCCATTTGCGTCTGCTCCTCTGCTCGTGCCAGTGCCGATCTCCTTGTCCAGTTGGAAGCTTAGCTATGGCAAACGTACATATATGCAGAGGAGAGAGCAATTGAGAGAGAGAGAGAGAGAGAGGCATGAGGTTGCACGTGTCGCGTATCACGAGGAGGTTACCTGACGAATGCGGGTCTCAAGCAGGTGGAGACGGTCGATTAGGGTGCTCTTGAGGTGCACTTCGTGCATGGCGGACAGGGAGTTGGATCGATGATGTTGGCCAGCCCTGGGCGTCCTCAATTGCAAGTCCGCGGTGAAATAGCAGTCAGGTAACAGCCGCTGCTTCTCCTCCAGCTGCCTTAGCTGCACACAAAGTACTGTGTCGTGAACGATTGAGTATGCGCTTCCAAACCTTGTAATGGTGAAGCAGTGAGTGGCGCATACGCGATGGTCAAATTGTTCCAGCCTGCTCAGCAGTGATTCTGCCGGACAAGAAAAGGTGCAATCCCTTGCTTGAACCATCAGAGATCGCCTCTCGGATACTCGCAGCACTGGATCATCCATATGTCTGCCTCTCTCTCTCTCTCTCTCTCTCTCTCTCTCTCTCTCTGTGACGGTTGATGGGGCTGTCTAACTCCGGCGAAGATAGGCGGGTGAGCGACACTACTTATATATATATGCGTCATCTCCTCCAACTAAAAGCAGGTCCTTAGCAGTGTAAGTCGGGGCGGCCATCCGACCAGGTCGGATCTCTTCCTCTGGTTATGGGGTTCCGTCGTTGCTACGTTGTTCAGAGATCCAGAGAGCATGGAGGGACTCCTTTGGCGGGTGGTGAACACGTAGCGACGGTCTACTGGCTGTGGTGCATATGGCCCTCCTCAAACTTGTGCATATTTTTCTGTGCTACCAACTGAGCATTATGGCAAAAGTATGGGCTCCATTGCACCCCTCTAATGGAAGTTAAGGGTGGAAGATTCAACCTGACTTGAGCTGGCTAATGTTGCATTCGTGCCGGAATGCTTTGGTCTGGCAGTTAAACGAAGCCAAACCACTCGAGTTGGAAGACATGAATCACGATCTTTGAGCGAAAGAAAGAAATTTACGCTCTCACTTGCTTAATTACCGCAATTAAAGATTAAATTGAATTAAATTTTATGAAGTAACATAGTTCAATTAAAGTCAAATCGAAATCCGATTGGATACGGATGTGAATTGCTCTGCTCAGCTCGTTGTCTCCCTCTTCTATCTTCTTCCTTGCGCCCTTATCCGGTGGAACCCATATTCCCAATCTCATCCAATCATTTTATTTTCTTGTTATTCTCATTGACTTCCTCCTATTCCCTTCTCTGGAGACATCTGCCGTTGCCGCTGCCGTCCTGTCTCCTGCAATTGCGCCGTCGACATCGTAGCTCGCCCTTCCGCGGCATAAAGTCTAACCACCAAATCGAGTCCATAAGCCTGGCCGGTACATGGCCTCTGTCTCCTGCTTCGGAGGCCGTCATCATACTGTTCGTCGTCGAAGCAACATCTCCCGTCGCCCTATTATCACAATAATATCCATCACCTTCTCCTCCTCCTCCTCATCATCATGTTCTGGTTTCTTTTCTATGCCGCTAAGTCTTCGCCGTCGTAATTCCACCCGTCCAAGGCCTATTTCAGTAATCAGGTGCTCTTCCAGCTTTCCTGGACCAACCGATTCCGATGAATCCCCTCGCGATCTTGGAGGCGGAGCAGGCAGGGATGCCAAGCAAGTGAAGGAGGAGACTGTGGACCATCGTCTCGGGAAGGAGCAGCAGCTCGGTACCAGGGTGGCCACTGCCATGGGAGAAGCAATGCCAACCAAGGATTTTGTTACCATAGCCGCCTGTGTGGTTGGCCTTCTCACCGGTGTTTGCGTCGTCCTCTTTAACAATGCGGTGAGTGGACTGGCTCTTTCTTAATCTTACAACCGATTCTTTGCAATATTTTATGCCTGATATAAAATGCAAAGTTCTATATCTCTATCAAAAATATGAAGCAATGAGTTAAAATTCTACATCCAGATACATCTGTGAGGTTGGCTTGCGTCACAGCATCTTGATTTTTAAAGGTTCCTGTGTCAGATTCTTTCAACACTGGATAACTGACACTTGCATTACATTTTTAATTATCAGTAGCAGTAATTAGCTAGTAGATATTGTAGAAATTTTGTTTAGTGTGGGAAGTAGATAAAAGTATGATGCTCTTTTGAGTATTTGACTAAATGTTTTGTCAAAGTCAAGGTTGCTGAATAATCTGTTGATGGATTATTAAGCTAAGCTTGACATGAAATACGAACTAAAGTATTACTTTATTGATTTTACCTGCTCTTTATGTTAAAGATGAATTTCAGCTTAATTGGTACATCACTGTGTTTGCAAATTGATGTATTCCACAAGTCACATTGCATAGCACTGTAACCCACTTTATAACAAAATCCTCTAATCAACTTCAGATTACGGTAGATACACTAATTGAAGCCAGCGTGTCCATTATAAACCTTTCACGTAGTTCTATATAGCCCCCGAAAACAATCATCTATTACAGTATATTGGATTCCCATAAGTTTCCTGTAATGGATTCACTTATTATGTTGAGCCCATTTTCAAAGATTCCATCAAAAACCTGATTATGATTCATCTTAAAGACAACAATGCCTCTAATGATTGTTATGAACTTACTGAAACACACTTAAGTGGCTCTCAAGGCCTAAAGTCACTTTCCGAATCAAAATTCTTATTTTCACAAATTCCCTTTTGCTTCTGAAAAGATGATTATATTATATTACTAGATAAAGTATAACATTTAGAAGAAAAAAAAATGATATATTCATGACAGGAGGACCTATGCAGCTTGTTTAACTTTGAGACTATGATCATCACATCAAGAACAGGGTTTTACATTAAAAAACAAGTTGACGGACTTCATGAAAGGCAATATATGAGTCTAATTGACCCATGGTTACATTTTCTCCTCTTGCCCAAATTGTACCTTCAACTTATACAATTATGAAAGCTTTGTTGCTGGGACTATTTGAAAAATATAAACAAGGGCATTCTTCTCCTGGCTTGAAACAATCGACAAGACATTAATGAAGCCCTTCTCTTTCTGGAGAGTGGTCGCATCAGAAAATAGTTTGAGCTAGAACAAATAACATGGCAAAGGAGACAGAGAAAAGCAATCAAGTAAACATAAAATTACAAACTGAGCTCGTGTCATTTATTAAATTAGCAACCGGTGAGGCTCAATATGCATCTGATTGTTGTGCCTACTGCCAGATAGAGATAGTCATCTGGATGTGCAGCAATACTATAAGAGCAGTAAAGGGAGAGATGTGTAGTAGGAAAAACGGAATGATGAAACAATCAAGTTCAGAAAAATTGGTGGTGCTGGTAAAAAAGAGTTGAAGATACTGGAGATTCCATAATAGAAAACTCCAGATAAAATGATGAAATTCTTCAAGTATCGGATACCTAAGTTGAAATTTGCTATATAGATCATTTCTTTTTGTAAGAGCAAAGTTCCCAAATAACCCAAAGAGTCACCATTTGTATATTTTTCAATTATATCTAACCAGTTTTGTTGGTCTTCCTCTTCCTATCCTATCGTCTCTGATTTGCAGTAGCTCATCTTTCTTAGTAGGCATGAAGTCATTGTTGAGAACTGATTCATAAGTAGTTATCTAGGTAGTTGTCATGTTTTAGATAGTTATAGGCATGTTTTAAGTAGTTCTACCTAAGTGAGCCATGATTTAAGAAGTTATGGGGATAATTCCTACACTTAACTTAATCATGAGTGATATGATGGAGTGAGGTAATTACCACTAGATCCTATAAATAGAGTCATGGTTCATAAAGCAAGTGTGTGAGCACTTGGGAATGTTTTGTAGGTGTTCTTAGTCTCACCTCTTGTTTAATATTACTTTGGTTTTCCTGATTGAAAGTATTCTCTTTTAATTGCATTGTAGTATTCTGTTTCTATTTCCTTGCTCCTCTATCCCCAACAGTGATATGACAATGTTAGTCTCCATCAGATCTTTTATATCTAAAGTTTTGTTTAATTTTGAAATTTTGTTTGTGGATCTTATCTGTTATTAAGTTACATATTCTATGATATTTTCTTTTATAGTTCTTTTCATTAATTAGGTGCACGAAATACGTGACTTCTTTTGGGATGGATTACCATTGCGAGGTGCCTCATGGTTAAGAGAGAAGCCTCTTGAGGAAATTTGGCAAACAGTTATTCTAGTTCCTGTTTGTGGGGGTGTTATAGTTGGCATCTTGAATAGTCTGCAGGATTCTTTAAAAGACCCATCAGGCAGAATGGTATCAGATGTAAAGGAAGCAATAAGACCAATTTTGAAGACCATAGCTGCTTCTGTCACCCTTGGAACAGGGAATTCATTAGGGCCTGAGGGTCCTAGTGTCGAAATAGGTTCAGCCATAGCTAAAGGAATCAGTCATGTTTTTGAGTGGCGTGGTGGAAAGAGTTTGTCTCTTGTAGCAGCTGGATCAGCCGCTGGAATTTCATCAGGTCTTACTTTCAATTATTGGATCTGTTGCTAGATTGATGCTGAGGTAAAATCTGTAATTTTACATTGTGCACCCCTTGACATACCACAGAAGATGCATCTTGGAGGCATAAAAAATGCTTACTTGTTGATTTATGTGTCATGGATGAAGCATTCTAAGTCCTTGTTTTCATATCATCTATTAAAATAAATAGGCATCACCTTTCAAATTGGATACAATTTCTTTGTTTTGCTATTCAATTTTCTCTTATACGCATGACACTGATCTTCATTCTTCCAAAGGGAAGTTCACCTATGACCTAGCAGTCAAATATACAAAAGTTGAGGTAACACTTTTTTCGGGACTTGAATCGCTAATGATCGGGGGTGCTTGTTGAAGTTCATGATTAATTTTACACATTAGCGACCTATAGATAGACCAAAGATGATCTTTAAATTTTTGTGATACTTCCGGAGAGAGATTTATATGATGTCATATTGACTCCTGACTAGCTCACAGAGGTAACACTTTCTTTGAGACTTTGGTCGCTGTTGATCTGGAATGTCATGTTAACATTCATGACTAATTTCAACAAAGTTCCCTATAGATGGACCAAAGAGCTTCTTTAAATCTATGTGATACTTTCAGAGAGAAAGATCTATATGTCATGTTGGCTCCTAACTTGCTCATGGGTGAATAAAGAAACTAGAGCAAGAAGTTTTGCCAGTTATGAAAGTTCATGATAGCTAGAAACTATTGACAACAAAAAACACTATAAAGTATAAAGTGAGCCCTATAATTTTAGGTCTTTTTCAAACCATATCTAAGGACATGGCTTGTTTATTTGTTATGTTTGGCCTCAAAGCAACCCCACCCTAGTAAGTTTTTCATTTTTTTATCTATTATAAACAAGGTTAGGGTTTTTCAAAGAAGTAGAATGGATGGCTATATTGCTGTGTTTAGAACAACTTTCTTACTTCATTCTTCTGCTCATGATTTGAACTTCCAATGTGTCTACACTGGCCTATAGGTTTTAATGCTGCTGTTGCTGGATGCTTCTTTGCTGTGGAGTCTGTCCTATGGCCTTCAACAGCAGATCCATTCTTGTCCCTTTCAAATTCAACATCAATGGTAATACTCAGTTCTGTCATAGCATCCATAGTTTCAGAGGTCGGTCTTGGTTCTGATCCGGCTTTTACCGTTCCAGAATATGATTTTCGCTCACCAAGTGGTACATTCCATTCCTACTTTTTTCAATTGGAGATTAAAATGTTATTTGTAGAAGGTATCAAAGTATTCAGCATTAGCTTTTCAAAAGTGTTAAAGAGATGCATTAATTTATTGATTAACTTTAAGTCAGGCCTTTTCAATTTTAATTTTGCCATTACTATGTTTGTTCTCAGGATCTGATTTTATTTAGCTGTAGTTTTCCACAGTGGGTAAAGAATTAAGTGAAAGATTCTATCTTTTAAGCTATTTTCTTATGTGCTACAGAGCTTGACAAAATCTGAAGGTGTTTGTCATTCAATAAATTTTCAGAACTACCTCTGTATCTTTTGCTGGGAGTCCTTTGTGGCATGGTTTCTATAACCTTATCAGGATGCACATCTTTAGCTCTGGAAACAGTTAACTACCTTCAACGGACCACAGGTGTAACAAAGGCCATATTTCCTGCATTGGGTGGACTCACTGTTGGTTTGATAGCTTTATCATATCCTGAAATTTTGTACTGGGGCTTTGAGAATGTGGACATTCTACTTGAATCACGACCTTTCGTAAATGGTCTCCCTGCTAATATTTTATTTCAGTTAGTTGGAATGAAAATACTTGCGACATCCTTGAGTCGTGCTTCTGGATTGGTGGGAGGCTACTATGCGCCATCCCTTTTTATTGGTGCAGCAACAGGGATGGCTTATGGAAAATTCATGAGCTCTACACTATGTGGCCCCAGTCCATTGATTCATCTCCCTCTCTTGGAAGTGGCATCACCTCAAGCATATGGTCTGGTAACTTTTTTGCTACAAAGCTATATAGTTAGTCAATCTTGAATTTCCTTGCAATTTGTTTGATCCCTCTGGAAGCTTTAAATAGAATGGTACCTGAAAACATATCACTGACTTGGGCTTTATGCAAATGATTCGTATTGATAGACATCATAAAAGTTGCACTTAATTTGTAGGTTGTGCTTTCTTTACAAGAAAACTTGAATTCCTTTAATCAAGGTCACCACTGTGATGAATTTTCTTTTCCTTTTATCATTCGTAAGTTTGTGCTCATTGGCATAAGTCAGCTACGGTTCCTATCTTATTTCACTTAATTACCTGAGTACAACTATTAAGATCTTAAAATTGCTACTTAGTTTTTCATGTAGTAATAATGCATTTGCTAAATTTCTAAAATTCAGTTCATTCAACTGGTTGTGTTATCGTACCTGTTATTGTTTCTTCTTTCCATGATGAACTCATCACTTAGTTTTAACTAATCCTTGCAGGTGGGCATGGCTGCTACTCTTGCAGGTGTGTGCCAAGTACCTCTAACATCGGTTTTGCTTCTTTTTGAGCTAACGCAAGACTACCGAATTGTTCTACCACTGCTTGGAGCTGTGGGGTTATCATCATGGATATCATCCAGCCAGAATCTTAAAAGAAATGTTCCAAGGAAGTTGGATGAGTTGAAAGTAAATGACAAAAATGGTTCACAACCTACAGGCTCAATCTATGAAGACCAGGACACTTATTATGCAGCTGCTTCTGCTGAAAGTGGTGGTATTGGCTTATGTGAGCTTGAGAATTCTCTCTGTGTTTTTGATGTCAGTGCTGAAGTTAGCAGTTTGGCAGACAAGCTTACTGTTTCTCAGGCTATGAGAACTAAATTCCTGACTATCTCAATGAATACTTCAGTAATTGAGGCAGTCACTCTCATGCAAGTGGAGAAGCAATCCTGTGCAGTTATAATTGATAGCACTGGTTTCTTGGTAGGATTGCTATTGCTCGAGGATATCCAAAATTTTAGCAAATTGGCAACGACAAGAGGCGTTGAAATTGAGGTATGAAAGAAACCCTCCAATATTTTTTGCAAATGATTCGGTTTCCTTGGTTGTACTGAGATCAACATAGTCCCCTCTTGCTAGGAATATTTTCACCTTATCTATGTACATAAGTAAATCAAACTACTGCAGTGAAAAATTATTGAACGATAGGAGCATAGGAAAGACTGACATGGATCTAGACCGAATCTTCATGGATATGGGTCACTAGGACCCAAGTCACATCCACATGGATCTAGAGTACATTCAAACGACATCCTTAATTAAACAGTAATACATGCTTGAAATGGCAAATTATAGTTATAATACAACTAAAAAAAAGGCACTTGTAAGCCAAAAAAATTATAAAACATGCTGGCAAGTTTTGGATTTACCTTGTTAATTGTTATGAAGAAAAACCAAGCTTTCTCTCAAGTAATTTATCATGAAGCAAGAGAAAAGCTCCAGTTCCAAGACATTTGGGAATTTTGATGAAAAAAGTGTTCAATTTGGAGAAGAAATCAAGAAATAACACAAAAAACGGAAAGTAGTTGTTGGTGGAGAAAAAGTAGGAGGAAAGAGAGAATCGGGTAAGGAAGAGGAGAAAAGGGAATGAGGTTACCAGTTTACATCTTGTACAGCTCAATACCTATGGCAATTTCAGGTGGTATTACTAGTATGAAAGTAGATTTGATGCTGACTGGTGTTCTAATCAGAGTCAGTTCAATTGATTTCCGCTTCTGTGCTTGATAATAGATGAAACTAATGATTTGTTGCTTCAGCGCAAGAAAGAGAAAATGGCAATGTGAGTTGGCTTGGCCTCGGTGATCAATAAAAGAAATTCATCTTTGACTCCATACCAAGCAAGGGAACCAGTGTAGACATATTCTATAAGTAACGGGAGTTCGAAAGAAAAGCAATCAGTAAATACGTTATAACTCTAAATAACCAAGTCCGACAAGCAACTACTACAGTCGACCACACAGTAGGCATGGACAAGAAAGTGATGACCCCTACTCAGGCATTAAGATGTAGCACCCCTATTTCTCCTTGTTTAACCTATATGAACCAGAACTTCTAGTTAATCTGTTTTCCTTGGTGCAACAAGACTCGGTGCTAATGCGAGGGGTGTCAATTCCTACATCATATGATATGCGCATAAGTTCAATCTAATAGGTGTGGCTTAGTCGGTAGTAAAACTTATTTTCCCCTCAAAGGAGGAACTTGAGTCCCAAAAAAATGGATTATTTAGCACATCTACCAATATTTCGCATTAATTAACATTCCAGATTTTCATTATTGTCTGGCAGGCAGAAAAAATTCTGGTATCTGATATCTGTCACCCGGATGGAGGCAAGCGCAAGGTGTGGACAGCTACACCTGAAATGAAACTTGTAACTGCCGAAAGTATCATGGACTCACATGGGGCGAATCATCTCCCTGTTGTTTCACAGCATATTGATGGACAAGAAAGTGGGCAATTGGTTGGTCTACTCGATAGAGAATGTATTAGCATTGCCTGCAGGTAATTATTCTGCACGACCGTCGTACTATTCCAATCGCTATAAGCTTAGCAATAAAGAAATTACAGTCTTTGCACATCTAGCACTTCCAAGAAACCTGTTATTCCTAATATATTGGTGATCATTTTGTTGACATTGTATTTATTGATACAGTGCTGTAGCAGCTAAAGAATATCTCAGCCTTTACACGGTCACCAGAAGGCTCGAGTCTTAAGCTAGAAGCATTTTCGGCAGATTCATGTGATCCTTTGTGATTCTGGAATTATGTTGCCAAACACTAATTAGCAAGTTTTACAAGTAGAGAAACAGTGTCACTTTGTAGCTGTGCTATTAAAAGTTGTCATTCATATGTTCCTACTGTTCTTACAGTTAATTTACCGAAAACTTGTATACTAACAGATGCCAATGCCTTTATACCAATGAAAGCAGGATTAGAGCTACTGTTTCATATTTGGGCTCATAATGTATGTTGGGGATTGTTGTGGGTCTTCTTTTTTCCTTTTTTTATTTTTGCATGGAGCGTTGAGCTATATAATTCTTAATCTGGAATGAAAGTATAAAGAATTGTCTGCATATGAATTGATGATCCGACATTGGACCATGTAAAATTGATGCAAGTGGATGGAGATATAATTGTGCAGACACGGTCTGTCTTCCCGCGTGTTTAGCTATTATGCAACGCGAGACAGTAGAATAGTTAGTTGCTAACGTGTAGACGTTGATTCTCCCCGACCACAAGAAAGAAATGTTCTCATACTCATCAAGCAAACCTATCTATCAATCTTATCGACCGTGCCCTTACTAATTTCCTCACCTCCATCGACACAGTCTCACTCCTTCCGCTGGCCCCCGTTCTTCCTCAGTTACACTGCCTCCTTCCCCTCCATGATCATGCCTCCTCTCTTGGAGATGATCCTTTCGCATTGGCCTCGGCCATTCCCATCAACCATCTCGACTCCTCCCTCGAATAATCCTCTTGGAGTTGTTCGTGGCTTCCTCTATTGCCCCTCGTCCACTTCCACCAACGATCATGACCTCCTTTGTGGACAACCCCTTGCCATCTCCGTACAAACATCATTGCCCTGCTGTTATGAAACTTTGTAAAAAGTTTATGACACTACTCTGTGAATAAACATCTTTACACTCAATTTCAGAATCATTCTAAAAATATACCTCCTAATCTGAATATAAAATACCCCTGGATTCATAAAAGAAAAAATAGAAAACATATTTTGATATTGCCATCTGGTGTAAAAGAGATAACACTTGTATTCTTACACAAACAAATAACAACATTCAATTATTATATTCTTACACTCATGAATAAACAACATTCAACTCGGTTCTCAGAATCACATCATCAAAAATATACCAAACTTGAATTAAAAAAAAAGCTTAAATTCACACAAAAATATAGAATAAATCATAGCTTGATTTCTATTATTTTAATAAAATAATTATTATTTTTAATTTTATTTTGGACAATTCCAGACAGACGTAAACTACTGTGTGCATCCAAAATCAGATTGACGAATAATTGATGCCGGATGATGAAGAGCATGAAGCATGTAGCTACCTCAAATGGGGATCAAATCTTATTAGCTTCTAAAAAGATTGTACCCATGCATACCACCTTCAACCTGCAGCTTACAACTGCTGATTCCTCTACCATCGCTAATTAATTCTTTTAGCTATCAAGTATGTTGGGAACTAAACCATGAACTCAAATTGGCAGAGTCCATAACACAATTAGGATCAAAGCAAAGCATATATATACATACATAGCATCTTCTCTCTACAATATCACAAATAAAAACTAGCCACACATGAAATATGTCTCTGATGTACAACGCCCGACTGGGGCTGGCTCAAAAGACAAAAGACATGGATGCAGAACCAATTCTTCAAATACAAAGTAGGCACAAAGGGGGCGCACATAAACTGACCACCAACACCAATCTTCAGAATATGATATTTTGCAACCTGATGATGAAAGAACAAATGCCACAAACCTAAAGTTGACACTTACCAACCATAATACACCCAGCAGATGCTTCCCTGGTACACCTAACACTAAAACACAAGGTAAGGATCATCCGGTTTACTTCAGACACCCGTTGATCAAGCATGCCTCTGAGCGCCAGGTGGTGCGGTAGGCATGGGGAAGTCGTAGTTAACATCCCCAAACGGAGGAGCCTCCACGTATGGGCTCTGCCACATGAAAAATGTTTTATTACTTCTTCGAACATCTTCTCTGTTGAATTTTAATGAGCAAAAACAGAGGTAGAATGAAGAACCCACGGAGAGCCCTTTGAGTGTTCGCTTGAGCAGGATTACTTATTCACACGCATAACTTAGCTTGATAATTCATGGGAATGGCAACAATACCTGCGTAGCAGCCAGGCTTGCATAAGACAGATGCTCCACAGGGGATTTTGGTGATGCATCAGGTGAACTGCCATCATTGCATTCATCATTGCCACTCAACTTGTTCTGTGCCCCACTAGCAAATGATGTTTCACTCTCACTTCCATTGCCCAGTTTAACCCTCTAGATCAAAGCACATAACATGGTGTTTTTTCAGGAATTTAATAATGATCACTACAACTTGAAAGTACATGATACAGTGACAGGAAATTTCCACACTTCAAACAATAAAACTATGCAAAAGTGTGCAGCACAACCCAACAGTTTTCATAGTAACAGTTTTTATTTTTCCAACCAATACACAAGCATGACCAGAAACGTAACCATTAGCAAAAGTGGGTTGGTTGGGCACAACATTTTGTCTGTTCTGTTATACCAAAAACAAAGATACAACAGAATTTTCCCTCAGGAACAGCTGGTCAAATCTCTCTAGAGATGAGCATCCCCCTGGCTTCCTCCAGCCACCACCTTAAGTGTTTTCTTCACCATCTTTCCCAGCATATTCTCTCATCTTAAACCTCAACCAACTATTAACCCAGGTAGACCTCGAAATCCTTACACTGCTTGGTCTTCAACTTTATATGGAAATCCCAGCAAGATTTTAAAAACCAGTCATACTGGTTTGTACCGTCTAGTATTTACCAGTCCGACCAGGATGTGACACTGTACCAGCAATTTCTCCCTGTCTAAGTTGAAACTGGACAGACCGCCTAGTAACCCTTTCCTATCTGATGTATCGCCAGGTTTTAAAGGGTTAAAACCAGGGATACCAGGCTTACCACCCAGTACACGTACAAATTTATTTCTTATTTATTTTACCAACAACAACTATCTTTTTCTTTTACTTTACTTTCCTCTCTGCTGCTTCTTCCTCCGTCTCTGATACTTGCCTCCTCCACCTTCTTGTCTTTTCCCTCCTACTCTGCATCTTCACATCCTCCATCTCCTACTCCACCTTCTCTTCCTCATCCTCCTATTCTGCTTCTCCTCCTCTCCTTCGCCTCCTCCCTTCACTTCCTCTTTGGTCTGTGATAATCGATATACCAACATATCATCTGTAGGTTTGCCAATTTACACTGAACCAGTACCCATTCAATGCTGATCGGTACATTGACACACCATGTGTCTGTATACTAGTACATACTGAAACCATACCAGTAGGGCCAGGACCCAGTACAGTTCTTCAAACGGAACTTGAATTCATACCCTAAAGTTCTTGGGGAATGCATTGGAATTGGAAAGCTGACAACATTCTAGAGGAAAAACTGAAAAAGTTATGGGATTCTCTCCAATTTTTCTCAAACTAGATTTTGTGGAGATAAGTGCACTAGAGAACACTAGCAAATCAGTCTCTACAGCGAGTTTTTGGGGAAGACCCCATCTCTTAAATTAGTTAAAGCTTTTCATCGTGAACTTGGAACTTTCTTTTGAACTCAACACTATAAACCTAGCGGGAGGCTTTAAGTTTGTTTTAAATTCTCTTTGGAAGAAGAGAAGTTTTAAAGTGAAGACCATATTACATAAAGGGACAAGCTCTATGACTGTTTTCCTTGAAAACCTCCAACCTCTTCTAGATAAGGACCTTCCAGCTCCTGCTTGGGTATAGTTTCAAATGTTGACCCTTGAATAATTTACCTTTTAGGAACTCCTTTATCAATAATAAAAGGTGGGATGATAGGAATTTTGATAGTAATACTATGTCCTCTTCTATAACAATCTGACAGAACTAAACCATCTTTTGTCAATTGGGAAGCTTCTGTTAGGGCCGACCTTGACATTAATATTTAAATATACATTCAATAAAATAACTCTTTATGAGGCTTAGGATGCTTGTGGAGCCCTGAATGAAAATAATTATCTCTCTTCAAGGTCTTAACAATAAGCTTAGTATATTAAATTGTCAGTATCACTTATTTTAGTGGACCAAGGCTAAAAACAATTAAATTGGAGAATATAAGAATATGAAATTCTTTCATGAAATGGTTAAGTTTAGGAGAAGACAAAACACCATCTAGATGATTACTCAAGGAGATGGATCTATCCTTTATGAAAAACATGCCATTGCGACTATATTTGTTAATTGATTTTACAGTATTTGGAATATTTGGAACAAGGATTACAATTTTGGTCCATACCAGTGTACTGAACCCTACTCAGTATGGTACATACCAAGGCATACCGACGGTACATCGAGGTGTATTGATGGTACGCCTAAAAAACACAAAAAAATCCTTAAAAATTTTAAAAAAAGTTAGATTAGGATTTTTAAGTTAGAAATAAATATAAATTCAGTATAATTTTAGCAAAAATAATATAAATTGACCCAATATCGATCAAATTTTAATTAAATCATCATTAAAACCACTAATCATAGTATTAAAAAAACTAATTAAAACCTAATTAAACCATCATAAACATATGATCCAATCCTTAATATGCATGAAATATGAAGATTTAACCTATTAAGTGTCTAATTTTGAAACTATTAATATTAAACACACTAATCACAACATTAAAGACCTTAATTACTCCTTAACTAACACTATTCTACCATTAAAAATATACCAAATAACATATTAAACATTAAGTCATACACCACATGGAATAGGCTTAATGATATCATAAATCAATAAAAATCTAGAAAGAGAATACATACCTCTTGATTAGAGTATTCTTCCTCTTAATCCTTCCAAATTAACCTCCTAAATTTGATCTAATTCATAAATCGTAGTCTTATTGAGTCTAGGAGAGTGAAAATATGAGAATAAAAAAGAGATGTGAGTGAATCAGTGTTTGAAAGGGTTTAAGAGATTGAGAGTGTGAAATAAGTTAAAAGAGAGTGAGGAAAGGATTTAAAAACCCTTTTTTAAGCCTTAAACGATCAAATTAACTATTTGAAATAGGGCAATCTCAACCCTTGATTGATAACGGTCGAAATATGAGCGTATCGACCGGTACAAATCGGTAATGATTGAATTTTGACTATTACCGTCGGTACAATCCCCGTATCATCTAATATGG